AGCCGTAGTCTAGTTTTGATCTAATTAGTGCTATCTAGAGTGAGAGGAGGGTATCTTTGGAGGCTCCCCAGTTAGAGCCGGTGAGACATCTTAGTGTGTTAAGGTCAATGCTGCATCTTTTTTTTAGGTTTTGGACGTGAGCCTCCCAGGTGAGGTGTTGATCGAAAATGAGTCCTAAGAATTTGGTTTGTTTTTGGAATTTGATTGGTTGTTTAGCTGGAGGATTGGGTAGGCAGGTTTCATGTTTTTATGTTTGAATACTACTCCTGTTATTTTATCTGAGTTAAAGGAGAAGCCCCATTTGTCTGTCCATTGTTGTATTTTATTTAGAGATTTTTGGATTAAGTTTTCTAGTTTTTTAGTGCGGATCCATAGGGCTCCGTCATCCGCGAATTATGAAGTGTTTAGTTTAGGGGATAAGCCCTCGAATAGATTTATCATTATATTGAAGAGGGTTGGGCTGAGGATGCTGCCCTGGGGAGTGCCATTTTCTAGGGGACACTGGTCCGATAGCGTATGGTCTATACCCACGGTTATTTTGCGATTGTTTAGGAAATCTTGGATGAAGTTTATTATTTGGCCTTTTAGTCCTATTTTTTGAGTTTTTGTATTAGCACGTGGTGCCATACCATGTCGAAAGCTTTAGAGAAGTCGAGGAATATGCCTATGGTGTATTGCTTGTTTAGTTGTCCTGTTTTTATATCCTGTTCTAGTCGGGCGAGGTTATCGAGAGTTGATCGGCCAGGAGTGAAGCCGCTTTGGTCGGGGTTGATGATGTTGTTTTGGTCTAGGTAGTGCTGTAGCCTATTTGTAGTCATAAGTTCCATTATTTTGCAAAGATTTGAGGTTAGGGAGATTGGCCTATAGGAGTTAGCCTGATCTGCTGGTTTATTTGGTTTAGGTATTGGGATTACTAGAGCTTCCTTCCATGAGCTGCTTTCCACGCCCCTTATTTATACCCGTAACATACCCAGGCTAATTACCTCCCTTAGCCATTGCATACCGCTAAGGAGAAAGCAGTTTCTCTCTTATTCATAATGCACTCAACCGAGAGAAACATCATTTTTCCTCTCCATACTATGCAATGCCACACACCCAGACATATATACATACAACATAACGCCAATATTTACAATGGCCCGGTCGCAGTGTCGACACGGGCAGAAACCCAAAGAAAGTCTATAGCCCTAGAGACAGGGAAACAGACAATCGTCCCTGAAGTTGATCTTTTATGTAACCGTCCTTGGCATTTTCACTTCTCCCGCGTCCGTGTCTTTTAAACATTTGATCTGGTACGCCGTTGTTTCACCACTACGCAAGCTATGAAGTCCATAACTTTTGATGTTGCACACAAATGGCGTAAAAGCATCTATAAACCATTCTCTAAAGATATAATTATCAGAATGAGTCAATATTCCGGATAAGGCAAAGTATTTTTCCAAACTTGTAACGGGACATAATTTTGAATTTGTCCTACCAATGACAAGCCATGAACCATCTCTGTATATGTCCGTTTTTAATTGTTCAATAAATAACATGATTATATGACTCTTTTAAAAGACAATGTCAGATCGCTTAATGTGTAATAGCTCTGCAGATCTCAGGAATCCTGAATATGCTACAAGGCACATACACATAATCCTTAAATTACAAAGTGTAGGATTAAGCAGTGTTACATCAACTAATTTCTCTAATAATTCTACGGTAATCGGCTCCTTTTTATTAACACATTTGGCCAATCTTCTTTTTGCCGCTTCTAAAACATTTTTGACTAAACCATTCTCAGTCGGGCTTTGCAATCCTACTATCACATGAGCATGGCGAATACTATAAAAGACAGTTAGCACAGGGGCAAACGATTCACTCTGCTGAGCAACAGACAGCAAATATAATGCGCAGTGCAAAAGTGAAATCGGTAATTAAACAAGAATGTGCCCATCGTTTCCACGCATCAAAACCATATCTGTATTTCCTAGCAGTGGAATCTGCTATACAATTCGTCAGCAGATCAGGCAAACCTGCTGCCAACCCCCTCACCCCAGTTAACCCCTTTAACTCCTCTCCATACACCAGGAGGTAACGCCTTAAACTCCTCTCCATAAGCGCAACTTATCACATCCGTAAACATAAAATGCACATTCAACATATGCTGAAATCAACACGCAGAGCTAGCATATTAAACAGCAAATCTTGTTCTCCAAACAATCCACCTCCAATCCAAGATGGTACATAAGCTTGTTCAGATTTTGGCAAATACATGTGTTCTATCACCTGTGGAATAAACGAAGAATTGCGAGTGATAAGCGGCCAAATGCATGCGGAATGCCATTCGGGCACAACAATGGTGCCTTTAGCACAACACTCAGACATATGTCTTAATGTTCTTGGTACCATACCAATAGGGGGGACAACCCAATTTACCACACCCTTCCAGCTGACTGTGAAACAGTCCACAGCCGCACATCCCGGGTTATAATACTTGGAATTAAAACATGGCAAATTAGCATTGTACCAAGATGCAAATCTATCTACATCATGAGGACCCCATTTGGCATCTATATGCTTAAATATGTGATTCGAAATGGACCAATCATCGAAATCAACAATTTTACTCCACATATCTGCGGTCTCATTCTCTGAACGCGGGATCCAATGCATATTCAGATTAACTTTTTGACTTGAACACAACTCAAAAAGGTCCATAACTATTCTTTGTAATTTCGGTTTCATACTACCCTTATCCACTATGGTAACCGCATTTTGATTGTCAGTACACCACAATATTCTACGATGTCTCAGTTGTGAGATAAAACTTTGCAGAACGAGAAAAAACGGCCTTGAGTTCTCTCCATGTAGAACTATTTTTAGCCTCCTCCTCTGACCACTGACCATGGGAATAAGCAGCATCACTTTCAACACAATACCCTCCAAATCCGGTATCACTGGCGTCACTGTACACAACTCGACTCACAACTGAACTCCTTATCAGTACTGTCCTCGACAAACGAGCAATGTTTCTCCCCAATACTGTAACTGTTCAATGCTCTGTGACGACAATATAACGTTGCTGTTCCACGATGAAGCTGTCAAAACTTCAATGCTGAGAAACTTAGTCATTAATTGTACATAACTAGTTTAATTGCTATGATTTGTTCGATAATCGCAGCAAACCGCTGCACTGGTTAATAAGAGCGCCTATTCACTTAAATAAATGTAATCGTTTCAATCGCCTCATCTAACTTCCTCTGGGGAACAGATAAACACAGGGTGTTTGTATCTATGTGAAGACCGAGCCACTCAATAGACTGCGAAGGTCACCATAGTGATTTTTCGCATTTGGGTACAAATCCAGACTTGATCAAGTTCCGATTGAGCTGATAAAATACCGTCATTCAGTATGGCCTTCAAACATGTCTATATGCTGATATGCAGAATGTATATCAAATTTTATCAACCAATCGTTGACATTAATATATTCAAGTGCAGTTTTCAAATCTTCATATTTGATTGACTTTTTGCTAACGTAATTGTTAACTCGGGACAGATTTAAAATCAAACGCTTTTTCCCCGACGACTGTATAGACACAGAAAGAGGGTTAACGATGTACGTTGGAGACTCACATTCAATAATTCATTCTAAAATAGCTTGGTTAACAGACTCTGCATGTCTCAACGCCGACCAGTTATTTCTTAACTCCATCTTTGGAGGCCTGGAAATAAAAGGAATTGTATATTCATTGTCTATAATATCAATTATGAATTGTACCAGAATTGAATGCTAGACTTTAACCGACCCTTCACTATAATTTCTGCTGTTCCCTGTTCATATTCATAATAATCATTAGTAAGGGCAATGTCATAATCATCAAGCATATTGTTTCCCGAATGTACATGATCAAAACTACACTTAACTGACCAGTCTGTATCCTGCCTGGGGCGGTCGGGTAGCCTAGTGGTTAAAGCGTTCGCTCGTCACGCCGAAGACCCGGGTTCGATTCCCGACATGGGTACAATGTGTGAAGCCCATTTCTGGTGTCCCCTGCCGTGATATTGCTGGAATATTGCTAAAAGCGGCGTAAAACCAAACTCACTCACTCACTCACTGTATCCTGCCTAAGAGGCACTGGTTGCTGTGGCGTTGACACCTCTGGCGTTGACACCTGTTGTCGCCCTGGTTGTGTAGGGACATTCCCGGATGTAGCGCGTGAACTCGCCGCAAAAATGGCACGATCCATGTCGTGGACCTTTGACCCGAAAGGTGATAGAATGCATGATAGAAACGCTATGCACAGGAGTAGAAGCGGGTAGAGCACATTGTACGTGCTGTGCTGAGATCGACCCGGGAGAAGCACGAGATCCAAAAGGGTTCTTGCGATTTTGTTTCAATTTAAGTTTTCTGCAGCTTTTGATTCCGCTTTCTCAATTTTCTTGTCATCATCAGAATCATCTGCTAAATCATTGGAAACATAATGTCTGACGAATCTGCAATTTTTATCATCTTATTTCTTTTCTCTAATTTTCCGATAGCTTCTTCCACACACCTTGACATATCATCATAATTCCCATTCTGAATGTTTTGTCTGGTATTAAGTAAGTCTTCTAAAACTTCCGAATTAACTTTAAACTGAATTCGATTTCCTTCCCTTGACCAAGAATATTCTGTTTCAGTCTTTAACCTTTTCAAACCTTTGGCTTGCTGAATAAATTCTTCTCTTAGGTGAGAAATTTTTTCCTCCACAGCACTCTCAATATCTCTTTGATTAGTGTCCATTTTTTTCAAAATGGCGTCAAGTTTTCCCGCTGTTGAAGGATCGTCTTGAGACATAATAGAACTTGATACTTATGTTCAGTGTTACTGCCATGCAGCTGCTTTCCAAGCACTTTATCTATACCCATAACATACCCAGGCTAATTACCTCCCTTATATTTAATATTTGCGAAATAAGGATGTCATAAGTTGTTTTTTTACTCACGTGTTCTTGCAGATCCAGCATGTCTGAACCTCCAGAAAAGGGGACGTCAGTTCTCTGAAGGACACATTCCTGGAATGTCCTGTGTGTGTGGAACATTTCAACCAGACAGACCGACGCCCTCGTCTTCTCCATTCTTGCCTCCATGCCTTCTGCACACAGTGTCTTCAACAGCTTCTCGACAAGGAGGGCAACGGTGAAATCACATGTCCATTGTGTCGGCGTATTGAGAAGGTTTCTGGCACTGCTCAGATGATAGCCATTGATCCAGTGAGAGACCAGCTCGTTGAATATTTGCACATTCAAAAGAAAAAACAGGTTTTGTGCAAAGATTGCCCAGATGGAAATCATGCTCGGTCAAGATGTTTTGAATGTGGGGGAAATCTTTGCCTCGATTGCGAAAATGCACATAGAAGAAACAGGAGCACAAGAGGTCATGAGATAAAGTTGTTGGGTGAGTTACAGGCTGCATCCTGTGAATCATTGAAGGTGCGAACATTTTGTTGTAATCATCAAGATCACTTTATTGAATGCTTCTGTTCAACATGCGAGGCGTTGTGCTGTGTGATGTGCGCCATCATAGACCATAAGGGACATGAATTTCAGAAACTAGATGATGCAGCAGCAACCATAATTAAAAAAATTGAAGGTTCAATGAACGAAGTACAAGACATTTTCAAAAGCCTAAGCAATGCTAAGTCAGAAAGTGGTGAGTACGTCACAGTTGTGCAACGGGATAAGGAGAGGTCAATATCTGAAATTAATCAGAAATTTGACGCAATATCAAAACGTCTGAAACATCGCAAAGAAACTCTAATGGGGAGCATAGAAGATCAAAGTGAGAGGCTTATCGCTGCTGCCAATACAAATGGAGCTGCATTTGATGAAGGGTTGGCAGAAATTGAATCAACGATGACTTACTTCTCAAATGTAAAGACAAAGGCCGACAACGTTAATATTCTACAGATACAGTCTTCATTGAGGAAGAAAATTGATCACCTTACGCATAGATATGGGGGTAAAGAAATACCGAAGAACACAGAAAGATGCCACTTTGAAGCTCAACATGAGGAAAACATTCATCAGGGAATTGATGCATTTGGCGTTGTAAGGAGTAGAGGAGCAGAAGGTTTGCAATTCTTCCGTAAAGAATGTACAGAAATATTCATAACTTCCAACATCAAAATACCTCAAGTTATAGAAGGAAACATGTTCTTATAATATAGCTGTCATTCATTAATGAGTAAGAATTTATGAATATGGGTATAAAGAAATAAGTATTCATTGATATATTTTCTTTTTTAATGAATCAAAGGATAAATCAGGAAAACGTGATATTCCTCGTCTTATCATTACCTAAACTGAAAACTGAGATCACCTAAGCTGCACCAAAGAGCAAAAGCTATTCAAACATTTGGAAATCTAAGACAAGCATCTTGATGCTGATATTATATTTGATAGCATGGTGATGGGTTGCATTACTGAATGACGAATGAACATGTCTTTTAGGTGTGTGTCAAGGCACATGTATTTACATGAACTGATGTTCCATTCAGACATAGCTGTATTCACATGTCTGAATCAGCTGTCTAACCTATTGTTACATGTCTATGGCGTTTTTAGTTTGTTATTCCCCTTTTATAAATGCATGCACATTGGGTATCACAAAATGCTCACAACAGACAGTTGCATGTGTTGTGCTTGGTTACCCCCAAGAAATCTTTTACTTCCATATTGGAATGTACCTTTCAAGCACATCAACATTACGTAAACCACATGCCATGCCATGTTGTAGTACTAGTGTGACTTACCAACACGCATCTTCTTTTATCATTATGTAATATACAGGCCTGAGAATGACTGAACCTGAACGATCAGCTGTCAAAAAGAAAGCACTTGGCGTGGCGTGCAAAGCAAACAATCATATTATTCAGGAGGACACACTTAAACTATGGTCCCTAGATGAGGTAAGGTAATGATTTACTTTAGTAGGTGTGCCTTTAAAATAGTGTTTGTCAAACATCAAATTACCATCTTGACAGAAGTCAGTATTGATACAAAACATTGCGTTGGGGAAAAATATTAATTTATGAGAGCAATTCTATTTTCAGTAAAGTGGAATATGATTTTGTTTGTTTGTTTGTTGTTTAACGCCGCAATCAGCAATATTCCAGCTATATGACGGCAGCCTGTAAATAATCGAGTCTGGACCAGAAAATCCAGTGATTGACAGCATGAACATCGATCCACGCAATTGGGATCGATGACATGCATCAACCAAGTCAGCGAGCCTGACCACCCGATCCTGTTAGTCGCCTTTTACGGCAAGTATGGGTTGCTGAAGACCTATTCTACCCCGGAATCTTCACGGGTCAGTGGAATATGAACATGTGGTAAAAAAAAGAACATGTTTCTTCAAAAGGATCACACTGCTCAGGCTTGCTTGCTTTCTTGCTTGCTTGATTGTTTGAGTATGGTTTTACGCCGCTTTTAGCATTATACCCATGTGGAGAATCGAACCGGATCTTTGGCGTTACGAGCGACTGCTTTAACCACTAGGCTACCCCACCAAAACAAACAAGAAATGGCTATTCGATGGGGAAGTATTTGATAACGTTTGTGATTTTATGGTCAAATCCAGTTTTCAAGCGTGAACATATTTGCCTGGCACTTAACTGACTTATCTCATATTTGTCATGACAAATAACAATATGTTCACTTGTTACGATAAGAGAGGGGGGGGGGGGGGGGGGGGGAGTGGTTGGTTAATGTGGAGGATATCTTCAATGTACACTCATGATTGTCTTTGTCTGGTTGTAGAAATGTATTTTTTTTACAGATCAATGATCTCAAAAAGATTGAACAGGAGTGTGGTGTTTCTATAACTGCAAACAAAACCTTAGGAAGTATCAATCTGCACGGGTTAAAGCATAATCTTTCGAATGCAAATGGAAAGGTTTACGAGATGATTCGAGAGTTAGACAGGAAGCGTAAGGATGAGGAATATGCCGACGAACTACAAAGAGTTGTGCAGTGGTCATTTGTAGAGCTTACAGAAGATGGAGAAGACAAAGTTGTTGACTACGATAAGAAAGTTAATGTAATGTTGGAAAGAGCATACACCAAACAACAAAAGACGAAGTTGGTGTATGAGGGATATACCTATGATTTCACCAAATGGGTAGAGTATCCTACAGAGGATGCATGTGACACAGTGACAATGATTCGTCGGGATAAAGTTTCAGGTGAGCTATTGCTTGGTTATTGTTTTTGTCATAAAGTTCATAAAGCGCTTTTATATGGATTTGTCACGTGTACTTGTGATTTATTCTGATTGATTGTGATAATTTTTTGCAAGTAAGAACAAGCGTTATATGTGGAATATGATCGATCTAATAATGTAGGTAACTCAAAATTATTTACATTTGCCTTATGTTCCTATTCTATATAATTATATATCATAGTGTATGCATGACCAATACGCAGATGTCTCTAGTTTGATGGTACTGCACGCACACTGTCATACTTTCTACTAGATTAGGAGATTCAGGAAGTTGTAGTTATTATTGAGGGTATATTCGTAGGTCATATTACATTTCAAGTGGAACTTCATATAATTACATTTGACACACTATTAAACTTCTTGATAGAATGATAGAAAGGAAAGCACGTGCGAGAATTGAGATCCTAACCTATCATCCTACTTTTTTTTTACATAAGTTTTAAAAAGTATTCATTTTCCTAGCCTATGCATAGTCTGTTAGAATATTTTCCCGGCTTGCCATTGCTGTCGTTACACCAGACTAAAATCATATCAGGTTCTGTGAATTGGCTGATTGCCTGTCATTATGCCCCTATCATGCTCATTCTTTTGCGTTGCCTGGATTGCACTACATTTTGACATAGCAGGACTATATCTGACTGCAGTTTTCAAAACTATTCTCTCATTTATCAGATTATATATATAAAGAGCAACAATAATAACAAAATCAGACAAGAGGGCATCAGCTCCAATTACTCGCATTAACTATACGAGGAAAAACATATTCTCGCTGCATACGTCATTTCAGGAGTCTCCGCCCACTTGCCCAGCACATGGGTTGGTATGAACTCCACAGATGAAGTAAAGATTGTACAGGTACAAAATGGAAATCAAGAATTTACCAGGGTACACCAGACGTTTACAGGCGCATTGGGAACTATGCCTGTCCAGATTGGAAGGGTAAGTGAAGCACACTCGCCTCTTTGATGTCATTTCCTCATGAACCATTTGACCAATGAAGTTCTCAACTGTGATGATACCTGGCTCTGTTCAAGAGGTTCGATTCCGAGTTTCAATTCGGCCGTAACAACGCCAATGTTGAAAAACCCTTTTTGTGACCATGAATTGGATGTCAATGCTGACAGCAACATTTGTTAAGTTTTCGTTGACATTATTAACTCTTGACTAAATAGCCAGGATAGCTAGACGTGCCGTGATACTACTTTTACTTTTACGTGATACTACGTGTCGTCCACAACAGCCTATTCTTGTCATAAGTGGTATTTTCATTGCAGTGAACATAACAAGTGTTATTTCACTGCCGTGAACATAACACTTGATATTTGACTGTGTGACTATAACACTTTGACGGAACTATTGTCATACAAGAGTTACCTCCACTTAAATTGTCTCGCTTAATCGTAAGTGTCAAGCCCGTCCTTTTTACGTTATTTCCACATTGACAAGGCAAAATGATGACAGATGGTCATTCATGGAGTTGATATCACTTCTTACCATTTGTTATTCTCTCGACAATGTTTTGCTTAAACTGTAAATTTCTCATTTAACTCGTCAATCGAGATTCTTTGTTTCGCCAACCCCCTTTTTTGTTACTTGACCAGCGTCTATTTTTTCGGTTCCAACATCGGTCTCTAAGGTTGGCAAGAATATTTTTTGTTAAAGTTGATTTTGTATATCATCATTTCGAAATGAACGATAAAGAATTTTCGTGACCTTTAATAATTTTTGATACTTTTATATTATTTTTATTCTTTTCAAGTTGCAAATACAAGGGGTGGTGAACCATCCCTGTGTGTTAGGTAGGGAGAATTTGCTTTTCAAGGTTTTATGTTTGTCATGAAATAATTAAATTTTTGCAGTGATACTGCACAAAAAGTATATATCACCTTTCCCACTGTCACTCGATGAGAGAAACATGATATTTCACCCGACACATGAAATATTCTCTATGTAACATTGCTATGTGTTCAGATCGACAGAGTGCAAAGCAAGACCCTCTACCAACAGTACCAAGCCAAGAAACAACAGTTGGAAAAGCAGAACCCTGGAACAACGATAGAAAGGACGCTGTGGCATGGGACTCCACAGCGGGCAACCATGAGCATCATGACGTATGGCTTCAACAGGAGCTACTGCGATAAAGACAGTGAGTTGGCTTCATATTTCATGGGTTTCTCTCTGATAAAAAAAATGGAAATGGACAGACAAGCTTTAGGACGGTTTTAACAGTATTGCTATGCGCATGTCATAAAGTATTTGACGTATTAAGTATTTTCAATGATTCCAGGTAATGCCCTTGGGGAAGGAGCTTACTTCACCTCTGATGCCGCCTATGCTGCTAGAGACCGCTATGCGCCGGTCGATTGTCAGGGCAACCGACACATGTTCCTCTGTAAAGTACTCACAGGATCATACACCCAGGGCCAACCTCAAATACGAACACCACCACAAAAGGACCCTGCTAAGCAAGAACTGTACGACAGTGTTGTAGACGATCCAGCGAATCCAAAGATCTTTGTCGTATTCAGTGATACGCAGGCATACCCTGAGTATCTTATTTCATTCCAGTAACAATGTGAACATGAGTTTAGGAACTGATTTGGCATGTCAGTAGAAAAATGGGTATTTACCGGCGTGAATCTTGTTATTTTGAACTTGCAATAGTAATTCTGGATCAATATCATCCTTTCCTAATTGGGGCGGTCGGATAGCCTAGTGGTTAAAGCGTCCGCTCGTCACGTCGAAGACCCGGGTTCGATTCCCGACATGGGTACAATGTGTGAAGCCCATTTCTGGTGTCCCCCGCCGTGATATTGCTGGAATATTGCTAAAAGCGGCGTAAAACCATACTCACTCACTCACACACTCCTTTCCTAATTGTTTCGTCAGTACTCAATGAGAGTCATTTCACTATTGTGTATGTCCCAATTTTAGCGCTAGCCTCTCTCAGCAACTAGCACTTGTAAATGATTAATTGAATGATGCAACTTTTGCTTTTAATTTTTAAGTAAGAGTATAATTATATCAGTGTTTGTGGCTTGTATATTTGTAACTGGTAAGTACTTTCACATTTGGTAATGGTAAACATGATTTGCTTGCTTTTGAACCCCATGCGAAATGTCTGAAAACATTTACTACATTTGGCCATAATACCCTGTGAAAAAAGATTCAAATGAGTGGTAATGCACCAGAAAGGTATATAACTGTAACTAGCTCATTTAAGATGATGACATTTTGACTGTGATAAGAAAGAATATGTAGCGTTAGAAGGTAACTTGGTTTAGGGAAAGTTATACCATTCCCTGTTAGCTGTCCATATCATGTAAACATTAATAGGTGAATCACTAAAGAGATTGCTTTAGTTACTTCTACACTTCTGAAGCTTGTACACCCTAACCCTAACCCCTCACTTTTGTATGCAAATTGTGTGAGTGCCTGGATGCTAACAGTAGGGAAGGACATGCTTTCCCTTTCAGCGAACACCTGATGCCATCACTGATGTTCAGTGATCCAATCTTGCCTTCCCAGTGTTCACGTTATATATATAGTTCTGTCTTCATGGCCCAGATATTTGCTTAATAACAGTTCATAAATAAATCATAACAAGATCTTTAATATCTACTTCCACCATAGAATGCTATTCATTTTTCGCATGTTTGTAATGTTTTATTCATGTATGGGAGGCCACAGGCCCATGTACATTTCAGCTGTATAAATACAAGAACACACAGTTGAGGCAATTACATTAAAACCAATACCTAGGTTCCTCATATGAAAGCTCTACTAATTCGTTGCCAATTCCTGATTCATAAGCAGGTGTATATGAACAACAATCAACTTGTGATGTTATATTGACCCCGGCTTGGTATTTTATTTTTTACAGAATTTTACAGAAGTTTTATTGGAGTCGAAACCCATGTTGCGAAGTAATAATTTCCGTATTGCATCAATATAATATATTTTTTTATTACTATGTTTGACATGGGGGATGATGTTTAGTGAGTTTAATGTAATGGTAATATACTATAATATTCAATAAAGTTCCATTGTATAAGCACAAGAATAAAAAGGAAAAATGACCGATCTTCTTTTTCTGTTCTTCTGTTGCTCACACTACTAAGGGGCGCAACTCTGCTCAGCACCTAAGACGACTGGGTCGATCGTGCCCCTCGCGGATAAAGTATTTTGTTCGTTTGTTTGTTGTTTAACGCCACACTCAGCAATATTCCAGCTATGTGACGGCAGTATTAAAATACCTCAAATACGAACACCACCACAAAAGGACCCTGCTAAGAGAGTCATTTCACTATTGTGTATGTCTTAATTTTCGCGCTAGCCTCTCTCAGCAACTAGCACTTGTAAATGATTCCTTGAATGATGCAACTTGTGTTTTTCATATCTCTTACAGTAGTAAGTGTATAATTATATCAGTGTTTGTGGCTTGTATATTTGTAACTGGTAAGTACTTTCACATTTGGTAACAGTAAACACGATTTGCTTGCTTTTGAATTCCATGCGACATGTCTGAAAACATTCACTACATTTGGCCATACTACCCAGTGAAGAAAGATTCAAATGACTGGTAATGCACCAGAAAGGTTTAGAATTGTATGAAAACTAGCTTATTCAAGATGATGACATTTTGACTGTGATAAGAAAGAATATGTAGCGTTAGAAGGTAACTTGGTTTAGGGAAAGTTATGCCATTACCTGTTAGCTGTCCATGTCATGTAAACATTAATAGATTAATGCTTAAACAGATTGCTTTAGTTACTTCTACACTTCTGAAGCTTGTACACCCTAATCCTAACCACTTACTTTTGTATGCAAATTGTGTGAGTGCCTGGATGCTACCAGCAGGGAAGGACATGCTTTCCCTTTCAGCGAACACCTGATGCCATCACTGATGTTCAGTGATCCAATCTTGCCTTCCCAGTGTTCACGTTATATATATAGTTCTGTCTTCATGGCCCATGTATTTGCTTAATAACAGTTAATAAATAAATCATAACAAGATATTCAATATCTACTTCCACCATAGAATGCTATTCATTTTTCGGATGTTTGTAATGTTTTATTCATGTATGGGAGGCCACAGGCCCATGTATATTTCAGCTGTTTTAATACAAGAACACACAGTTGAGGCAATTATATTAAAACCAGGTCCTCATATGAAAGCTCTTCTAATTCATTGCCAATTCCTAAATTCATAAGCATGTGCATATGAACCACTATCAAGTTGTGATGGCACTAGGTGAGCAAGAGTTGGTATTTTAACCATCTATGGACAGATGATTACATATACGAGATGGCCTCTCATTCCATTGTAAAGAAAAGCAATGTAGAAATGACGGTATGACAGTCTCTAATGACTTTACAGAATTTTACAGAAGTTTTACTGGAGTCGAAACCCATGTTGTGAAGTAAGAGTTCCTGTGTTGCATCAATATAATATATATTTTTATTACTGTGTTTGACATGAGGATGATGTTTAGTGAGTTTAATGTGATGTTAATATACTATAATATTCAATAAAGCTCTGTTACATAAGCACAAGAATAAAAAGGAAAAATGACCGATCTTCTTTTTTATCTGTTGTTCTGTTGCTCACACTACTAAGGGGCGCAACTCTGCTCAGCACCTTAGACGACTGGGTCGATCGTGCCCCTCACGGATAAAGTGTTTTGTTTTCGTTTGTTTTTTGTTTAACGCCGCACTCAGCAATATTCCAGCCATATGACGGCGGTCTGCAAATAATCGAGTCTGGACCAGACAACCCAGTGATTGACAACATGTGCATCGATCCACGCAATTGGCATCGATGACATGTATCAAACAAGTCAGCGAGCCTGACCACCCGATCCCGTTAGTCGCCTTTTACGACAAGCATAGTCGCCTTTTATGGCATGCATGGGTTGCTGAAGACCTATTCTAATCGTCATAGCTGGAATATTGCTGAGTGGGCGTAAAATACCAACAAACCAACCAACTAATCCGGATCTTCACGGATCTCACGGATAAAGACGGTATAGATAATCTAATATAAAAACGATTTACTACGTATCTGGAAGTTGCTTTTGAAAATTCACTTGTGAGGTGCATGTTAATATTATGAAAATATAAGACTCTGGGTTCGACCCACAACAGGCGCAAACCTTAGGTCGCTTATTGAGTTGCGGTCACTCTAGGGGAAGTGTATAGGGGAATTACGTGCACATCTTTCACACCCTTCACATGTCACATCCTTTGTAAATAGCCTTAAGGGAAGACATTATTCTGGGGTGGTTGATATTTGTAAGCGATTGTTTTCAAGAATACTTTAACACAACCGACACCCACTCCATAATATATTTGTAAGTAATCTGTCCAATATCTTCTCATGGGATGAAATATACACCTGCTCCTATTACCACTATACACATGATGGTCTTGTAGTAAATATGATTACTGGGGCGTGTTGCAAAGAGATTACAGTTGCTGCCGTTACTGAATACTGCACATGTTGTCAGGGTATGAAACTCCCAAAAATTTCAGCCAGACCACAGGACTGGCTAGCTGAAATACTTGCCAGCCCTGACCAAAACCTGCCTGCCCACTATAATCATATGTTTCTCAGGATAAGCTAACGGGGTTTCTTTTTGGTTACATTTTATCATTCATCTTTACATGTGAATTAATGCTTATCATCGGGAAATATTTAGAATATTGTCACATATGAAATATAACCCGACCGTCGGGCAGGGGGATTTGAAAATCTGGCAGCCCGAATTGAAATCAACCCGTCTCGGACGGTCGGGCAGGCAGGTATTTCGAACACTGATGCTGTTCACTCTTACCACTTTCGTGAAAGATACAAGAGATGTCAAATCAAAGGTTATAATCAGGCGAATTGGAAATCGAACCCTGGCATCTTAAGGGACGCACCGCTGGGTCCCCCATGCCGCCCCATTGTGATTGGACAACTACACTAACCAGAGAATAGGAACAAATGCATTCACATGGAATATGATAGCAAAAGGATTGCGTTTATCGAGTAGAGTTATAAAAGTAAACTAGAATGAATACACGTTAGATACGGGTTAGAATTGGTCTCAGCAGCCCATGCTTGCCGTAAGAAGCAACTAACGGGATAGGGTGGTCAGCCTTCCTAACCCCGGTTGGTACATGTCACCGTATCCAAATTGAGTAGATCGATGCTCATGATATCAATCACTGGATTTTCTGTTCCAGCCTCGGCTTTTCACAGGCTGCAGTCATATAGTTTTGCGTTAAAAAACAAACAAAGCATAGTTTTCAGAAGACCGTGCAGATCTAATATATTTTATGTGCGCTTACCTGAATAGAAAGCCCAGATCAAGATTTCCTTGGAAATAAACTTCAAACACGAAAAAAGGAAACCAGTCAGTGAAAAGGTATTGAAAACCCGAAGTAAAATGATTCAGTGAACTTGACTCCTATGTTGCACCCTAAAGAGTTTCAGCATTTGACTGGAGACAGGTTATACCTGTTTGTTGCTGACGTATGACTTCTAACCTTTCAACTTTCACAAATAACAACATCTGGAAAATATGGTTTTGTTCACGTAGAGGTGGATCTACTATCAGATAAATGGAGTTAACTGCTGAAATATATTGTGAAATGTACATTTGTTTCCTTTGGTTTACATACTGTTCACGACAACATGAAAGATCATTGAATGTATGAATGCTTATCTAGGACATGCGCAGAAAGGCTCAGTGATATTTGTCTCGTGTGTTACTGGCGTTGCTGATGTTGTTGGTGTTTCTTGCGCGATTGTTTCGCTGTATTGACAATTGTGGTTTCTTCTTGGATTAAGTGTTTCTGGTAAGTCATGCATTAACATAAATACTGCCTCCACTGGCCACTTGCAGTAGTAGTTTGGACGACAGTCCGTTAATAGTGAAAGTAGAACCAGGAAGTACACCCGACAATGGCGTGATTACAGGCAGACGCATAACGTGAATGCAGTGGGTGTGTTGTGTGTTTTTCCTTCTGTAATTGTGTGTCGATATGTCTAGGCCTTCATTTTTACTTGAAGGGCTTTGTATGTGGCGGACAGTGAAAATATATATTAAAAATAATATCTAAACAATTGACACCATTTCCACTTATCGACCCAATAAAATCTAAAAGCCCCTGTATAATCTATTTTGACCTATTGAACACATTTTCAGTAATAAAATCCAGAAACCAATACACACACACACACACACACACACACACACACACACACACATATATATATATATATATATATATATATTCGAACCCACAATCATAGGCCTTAGACGACTGGGCCACCCATGACCCCGTGTAAACTTAGGAAACTGCACTCTTATGAGGAATTCACAGATTAAGTGAAATAAATAAACCATTTGACAGTTTCCTCACATCCCTTTCACTTGTTATGCAATCGGTATGTTCTCTCTTGACTGTTAAAGCTGGTATCTCATCATTGAAAGGTTGATTGCCTAATATTCTCGCTGATGTTTTTTTTCTGACCGAATATGCATTTATCAAGATAAGATAAGGAGACCCAGTGTTGTTGTTAGCACAAGACACGTGTATGGATATTGATGTATCATTCAATCATTGTACACTGTAAATGTCATCTTGGTGTGAAATTGATCAGTTATATTTAAAAGGCTGAAACTGGCTTTTTTCCTCTTCATACTATGCAATGTCACATACCCAGACATATATACATACAACATAACACCTATATTTACAATGGCCCGGTCCCAGTGTCGACACATGGCAGTTTATTAAGATCCATGTTAAATACTCCAACTCCTCTCATCAACATATATACACTTCCACAATACATCATTATATACGGAACTATTGCCCGACACGTAAACCAGAAATCAAAAACAAAAACAACATTTAAGAGAAAATTGCTCTGGACCGTGTTCTCCCAACAAAGTCAACAGTCCCTTTTCTGGGGAGTTTACAGAATATCTATTTGATGTGCATAGACCTTATGAGGTATACAGTGTTATGACTTAAAATGAGCATGTTAGCAAGGTATGCTGACTTCCGCCAATTACATAATGGAATATACATTCATTACACTCGTATTATAAAGGCTCGCCAACCTACTCCATCACCGATTATACATTTAGGCCATAATTCTTGCACGTATTATAATGACTCGTCAGCCCTATCCATAACGGATACATTTACATCATTTATTCCATGAACGTATTATGACGGCTCGACAGCCTAACTTCCAAAACTGATTGGATTACAAATAACTTTTTTACGCATTCTTACGACTCGAAAGCCAACTTAGACACAACATGGGGTGTCTAGGTACATATATAAACCAACCCGACAGGGGCGGAACTGCTCAATGAAAAGTCCCACACTTCACATCTTCCCCGATCACACAGTCCTCGTCAGAATTGAAATTCTGCAAACAGAAACATACATAAATAGTTTGTTAAATCATACATATAAATAATGGATAACAACAACTTATGTTCAGTGTTACTGCCGTGCTGACAAGCGAGAGAGACGAGCTGCTTTCCAAGCCCCTTATTTATACCCGTAACATACCCAGGCTAATTACCTCCCTTAGCCATTGCATACCGCTAAGGAGTAAGCAGTTTCTCTCTTATTCACAATGCACTCAACCGAGAGAAACATCATTTTTTCCTCTCCATACTATGCAATGCCACATACCCAGACATATGTACATACAACATAACACCTATATTTACAATGGCCCGGTCGCAGTGTCGACACGGACAGAGACTCAAAGAAAGTCTATAGCCCCAGAGACAGGGAAACAGACAATCGTCTCTGAAGATGATCATTTATGTAACCGTTCTTGGCATTTTCACTTCTCCCGCGTCCGTGTGTTTTAAACATTTGATCTGGTACGCCGTTGTTTGCCGCTGCTGACGCCCCACCACTACGCAAGTTATGAAGTCCATAACTTTTGATGTTGCACACAAATGGCGTAAACGCATCTATAAACAATTCTCTAAAGATATATTCATCAGAATGAGTCAATATTCCGGATAAGGCAAAGTATTTTTCCAAACTTGTAACGCGACATAATTTTGAATTTGTCCTACCAGTGACAAGCCATGAACCATCTCTGTATATGTCCGTTTTTAACTGTTCAATAAATAACATTATGTGACTCTTATAAAAGACAATGTCAGATCGCCTAATGTGTAATAGCTCTGCAGATCTCAGGAATCCTGAATATGCTACAAGTCACATACACATAATCCTTTAATTACAAAGTGTAGGATTAAGCAGTGTTACATCAACTAATTTCTCTAATAATTCCACGTTAATCGGCTCCTTTTTATTAACACATTTGGCCAATCTTCTTTTTGCCGCTTCTAAAACATTTTTGACTAAACCATTCTCAGTCGGGCTTTGCAATCCTACTATCACATGAGCATGGTAAATATACTACAAAACGCCGTTAGCACAGGGGCAAACGATTGAGCAACAGACAGCAATTATTATAATGCGCAGTGCAAAAGTGAAATCGATAATTAAACAAGAATGTGCCCATCGTTTCCACGCAAAACCATATCTGTATTTCCTAGCAGTGGAATCAGCTATACAATTCGTCAGCAGATCAGGCAAACCTGCTGCCAACCCCCTCACACCATTTGGTTACGCCTTTAACCCCTCTCCATACACCAGGAGGTAACGCCTTAAACTCCTCTCCATAAGCGCAACTTATCACATCCGTAAACATAAAATGCACATTCAACATATGCTGAAATCAACACCCAGAGCTAGCATATTAAACAGCAAATCTTGTTCTCCAAACTATCCACCTCCAATCCTAGATGGTTCATAAGCTTGTTCAGATTTTGGCAAATACATGTGTTCTATCACCTGTGGAATAAACGAAGAATTGCGAGTGATAAGCGGCCAAATGCATGCGGAATGCCATTCGGGCACAACAATGGTGCCTTTAGCACAACACTCAGACATATGTCTTAAGGTTCTTGGTGCCATACCAATAGGGGGGACAACCCAATTTACCACACCCTTCCAGCTGACTGTGAAACAGTCCGCAGCCGCACATCCCGGGTTAAAATACTTGGAATTAAAACATGGCAAATTAGCATTGTACCAAGATGCAAATCTATCTACATCGTGAGGACCCCATCTGGCATCTATATGCTTAAATATGTGATTCGAAATGAACCAATCATCGAAATCAACAATTTTACTCCACATATCTGCGGTCTCATTCTCTGAACGCGGGATCCAATGCATATTCAGATGAACTTTTTGACTTGAACACAACTCAAAAAGGTCCATAACTATTCTTTGTAATTGCGGTTTCATACTGCCCTTATCCACTATGGTAACCGCATTTTGATTGTCAGTACACCACAATATTCTACGATGTCTCAGTTGTGAGATAAAACTTTGCAGAACGAGAAAAAACTGCCTTGAGTTCTCTCCATATAGAACTATTTTTAGCCTCCTCCTCTGACCACTGACCATGGGAATAAGCAGCATCCGTTTCAACACAATACTCTCCATATCCGGTATCACTGGCGTCCCTGTACACAACTCGACTCAAAACTGAACTCTTATCAGTACTGTCCTCGACAAACGAGCAATGTTTTCTCCCCAATACTGTAACTGTTCAATGCTCTGTGACGACAATATAACGTTGCTGTTCCACGATGAAGCTGTCAAAACTTCAATGCTGAGAAACTTAGTCATTAATTGTACAACATTTCCCATAACTAGTTTAATTGTTATGATTTGTTTGATAATCGCAGCAAACCGCCGCACTGGTTGATAAGAGTGATGTAATCGTTTCAGTCGCCTTATCTAACTTCCTCTGAGGAACAGATTTACACAGAGTGTTTGTATCTATGTGAAGACCGAGCCACTCAATAGACTGCGAAGGTCACCATAGTGATTTTTCGCATTTGGGTACAAATCCAGACTTGATCAAGTCTTCTTTTATAGCCTCGCCAGACGAACGTGTAATAAGTTCCGATTGAGCTGATAAAATACCGTCATCTAAAAAGGTGACCACTTTCTTCCCTTCAGAACGCCATTTCTTGACTAACTGGCGTGTAATGTTAGTAAACACAGAAGGTGCTGAAGTTAACCCGAAAGGTAAGAATCTAAACTTGAAATATTGCTTAACACCCGAAGCATTTTTCCATGAAAAACCAAGGAATTCAGTATGGCCTTCAAACATGTCTATATGCTGATATGCTGAATGTATATCAAAAATATCAACCAATCGTTGACATTAATATATTCAAGTGCAGTTTTCCAATCTTCATATTTGATTGACTTTTTGCTAACGTAATTGTTAACTCTGGACAGATCTAAAATCAAATGCTTTTCCCCCGACGACTGTATAGACACCGAGAGAGGGTTAACGATGTACGGTGGAGACTCACATTCAATAATTATTTGTTTCTTATGCAATTCTAAAATAGCTTGGTTAACAAACTCTGCATGTCTCAACGCCGACCAGTTATTTCTTAAATCTATCTTTGGAGTCCTGGACATAAAAGGAATTGTATATTCATTGTCTATAATATCAGTTATGACTTGTACCAGAATTGAATGCTAGACTTTAACCGACCCTTCACTATAATTTCCGCTGTTTCCTGTTCATATGCATAATAATCATTAGTAAAGGCAATGTCATAATCATCAAGCATATTGTTTTCCGAATGTACATTATCAATACTACACTTAACTGACAAGTCTGTATCCTGCCTGGGGTGGTCAGGTAGCCTAGTGGTTAAAGCGTTCGCTCGTCACGCCGAAGACCCGGGTACGATTCCCGACATGGGTACAATGTGTGAAGCCCATTTCTGGTTTCCCCTGCCGTGATATTGCTGGAATATTGCTAAAAGCGGCGTAAAACCAAACTCACTCACTCACTCACTGTATCCTGCCTAAGAAGCACTGGTTGCTGTGGCGTTGACACCTCTGGCGTTGACACCTGTTGTCGCCCTGGTTGTGTAGGGACATTCCCGGATGTAGCGCGTGAACTCGCCGCAAAAATGGCACGATCCTTGTCGTGGAACTTTGACCCGAAAAGTGATAGAATGCATGATAGAAACGCTATGCACAGGAGTAAAAGCGGATAGAGCACATTGTACGTGCTGTGCTGAGATCGACCCGGGAGAAGCACGAGATCCATAAGGGTTCTTGCGATTTTGTTTCAATTTAAGTTTTCTGCAGCTTTTGATTCCGCTTTCTCAATTTTTTTGTCATCATCCGAATCATCTGCTAAATCATTGGAAACATAATGTCCGACGAATCTGCAATTTTTATCATCTTATTTCTTTTCTCTAATTTTCCGATAGCTTCTTCCACACACCTTGACATATCATCATAATTCCCATTCTGAATGTTTTGTCTGGTATTAAGTAAGTCTTCTAAAACTTCCGAATTAACATTAAACTGAATTCGATTTCCTTCCCTTGACCAAGAATATTCTGTTTCAGTCTTTAACCTTTTCAAACCTTTGGCTTGCTGAATAAATTCTTCTCTTAGGTGAGAAATTTTTTCCACCACAGCACTCTCAATATCTCTTTGATTAGTGTCCATTTTTTTAAAAATGGCGTCAAGTTTTCCCGCTGTTGATCGATCGTCTTGAGACATAATAGAACTTGATACTTATGTTCAGTGTTACTGCCATGCAGCTGCTTTCCAAGCACCTTATCTATACCCATAACATACTCAGGCTAATTACCTCCCTTAGCCATTACATACCGCTAAGGAGAAAGCAGTTTCTCTCTTATTGATAATGTACTCAACCGAGAGAAACATAATTTCTCTTTTTTACACGTTAAAGTTTGCACTTGTGACATTGTTGAATACACAAATATGGCTAAAATGAGTTAAAACCTCGAAATCAACATGTTTGGCACATTTCCCCCCGTGCATTTATCGTTGTCAGAAGAGCATATCTGATAACTTTCATAACTATTTCTGAAGGTTTTGCTCAGTTCTTAATATTTAATATTTGCGAAATAAGGATGTCATAATTTGTTTTTTTACTCACGTGTTCTTGCAGATCCAGCATGTCTGAACCTCCAGAAAAGGTGGACGTCAGTTCTCTGAAGGACGCATTCCTGGAATGTCCTGTGTGTGTGGAACATTTCAACCAGACAGACCGACGCCCTCGTCTTCTCCATTCTTGCCTCCATGCCTTCTGCACACAGTGTCTTCAACAGCTTCTCGACAAGGAGGGCAACGGTGAAATCACATGTCCATTGTGTCGGCGTATTGAGAAGGTTTCTGGCACTGCTCAGATGATGGCCATTGATCCAGTGAGAGACCAGCTCGTTGAATATTTGCACATTCAAAAGAAAAAACAGGTTTTGTGCAAAGATTGCCCAGATGGAAATCATGCTCGGTCAAGATGTTTTGAATGTGGGGAAAATCTTTGCCTCGATTGCGAAAATGCACATAGAAGAAACAGGAGCACAAGAGGTCATGAGATAAAGTTGTTGGGTGAGTTACAGGCTGCATCCTGTGAATCATTGAAGGTGCGAACATTTTGTTGTAATCATCCAGATCGCTTTATTGAATGCTTCTGTTCAACATGCGAGGCGTTGTGCTGTGTGATGTGCGCCATCATAGACCATAAGGGACATGAATTTCAGAAACTAGATGATGCAGCAGCAACCATAATTAAAAAAATTGAAGGTTCAATGAACGAAGTACAAGACATTTTCAAAAGCCTAAGCAATGCTAAGTCAGAAAGTGGTGAGTACGTCACAGTTGTGCAACGGGATAAGGAGAAGTCAATATCTGAAATTAATCAGAAATTTGACGCAATATCAAAACGTCTGAAACATCGCAAAGAAACTTTAATGGGGAGCATAGAAGATCAAAGTGAGAGGCTTATCGCTGCTGCCAATACAAATGGAGCTGCATTTGATGAAGGGTTGGCAGAAATTGAATCAACGATGACTTACTTCTCAAATGTAAAGACAAAGGCCGACAACGTTAATATTCTACAGATACAGTCTTCATTGAGGAAGAAAATTGATCACCTAACGCATAGATATGGGGGTAAAGAAATACCGAAGAACACAGAAAGATGCCACTTTGAAGCTCAACATGAGGAAAACATTCATCAGGGGATTGATGTATTTGGCGTTGTAAGGAGTAGAGGAGCAGAAGGTTTGCAATTCTTCCCTAAAGAATGTGCAGAAATATTCATAACTTCCAACATCAAAATACCTCAAGTTATAGAAGGAAACATGTTCTTATAATATAGCTGTCATTCATTAACGAGTAAGAATTTATGAATATGGGTATAAAGAAATAAGTATTCATTGATATATTTTCTTTTTTAATGAATCAAAGGATAAATCAGGAAAACGTGATATTCCTCGTCTTATTATTACCTAAACTGAAAACTTTTGAATCCGTATTTCCCACATGTTTTACTTATATTAATGAAGAGATCACCTAAGCTGCACCAAAAAAGAGCAAATCTATTCAAACATTTGGAAATCTAAGACAAGAGTCTTGATGCTGATATTATATTTGATAACATGGTGATGGGTTGCATTATTGAATGACGAGTGAACATGTCTTTTAGGTGTGTGTCAAGGCACATGTATTTACATGATCTGATGTTCCATTTAGACACAGCTGTATTCACATGTCTGAATCAGCTGTCTAACCTATTGTTACATGTCTATGGCGTTTTTAGTTTGTTATTCCCCTTTTATTAATGTATGCACATTGGGTTTCACAAAATGCTCACAAGAGACAGTTGCATGTGTTGTGCTTGGTTACCCCCAAGAAATCTTTTACTTCCATATTGGAATGTACCTTTCAAGCACATCAACATTACGTAAACCACATGCCATGCCATGTTGAAGTGTGACTTACCAACACGCAATACGAAATTATTGAAACTGCCTCCCTGCCCTGTTGCATAGACTTTTAACCATATTAAAAATGTCATTCAGCCATCTTCTTTTATCATTATGTAATATACAGGCCTGAGAATGACTGAACCTGAACGACCAGCTGTTAAAAAGAAAACACTTGGCGTGGCGTGCAAAGCAAACAATCATATTATTCAGGAGGACACACTTAAACTATGGTCCCTAGATGAGGTAAGGTAATGATTTACTTTAGTAGGTGTGCCTTTAAAATAGTGTTTGTCAAACATCAAATTACCATCTTGACAGAAGTCAGTATTGATACAAAACATTGCGTTGGGGAAAAATATTAAATTATGAGAGCAATTCTATTTTCAGTAAAGTGGAATATGATTTTGTTTGTTTGTTTGTTGTTTAACGCCGCAATCAGCAATATTCCAGCTATATGACGGCGGTCTGTAAATAATCGAGTCTGGACCAGACAATCCAGTGATTGACAGCATGAACATCGATCCACGCAATTGGGATCGATGACATGCATCAACCAAGTCAGCGAGCCTGACCACCCGATCCCATTAGTCGCCTTTTACGACAAGCACAGTCCCTTTTTACGGCAAGTATGGGTTGCTGAAGACCTATTCTACCCTGGAATCTTCACGGGTCAGTGGAATATGAACATGTGGTACAAAAAAGAACTTGTTTCTTCAAAAAGATCACACTGCTCATGCTTGCTTGCTTTCTTGCTTGCTTGCTTGATTGTTTGATTATGGTTTTACGCCGCTTTAAGCAATATTCCAGCAATGTCACGAGGGGGGGGGGGGGGGGGGGACCTGAAATGGGCTTCACACATTGTACCCATGTGGGGAATCGAACCGGATCTTTGGCGTTACGAGCGACTGCTTTAACCACTAGGCTACCCCACCGCCCCGAAACAAACAAGAAATGGCTATTCGATGGTGAAGTATTTGATAACGTTTGAAGTTTTATGGTCAAATCCAGTTTTCAAGCGTGAACATTTTTTGCCTGGCAGTTAACTTACCTTTTATCTCATATTTGTCAAAACAAATAACAATAAGTTCCCTTGTTACGATAAGAGAAGGGGGCGGGGGTGTGTGTGGGTTGGGATTGGGTGTGTGTGTGTGTGGATGGGGTGGGGGTGGGGTTGGGGGGGGGGGGGTAAATATGGAGGATATCTTAAATAGACACTCATTATTGTCTTTGTCTGGTTGTAGAAATGTATTTTCTTTACAGATCAATGATCTCAAAAAGATTGAACAGGAGTGTGGTGTTTCTATCACTGCAAACAAAGCCTTAGGACGTATCATTCTGTATGGGTTAAAGCGCAATGTTACTGATGCAAGCGGAAAGGTTTACCAGAAGATTCGAGAGTTGGAGAGGAAGCATAAGGAAGAGGACTATGCCGACGAACTACAAAGAGTTGTGCAGTGGTCATTTGTAGAGCTTACAGAAGATGGAGAAGACCAAGTTGTTGACTATGATAAGAACGTTAATGTGATGTTGGAAAGAGCATGCACCAAACAACAAAAGGCGAAGTTGGAGTATGAGGGATTTACCTTTGATTTCACCAAATGGGTAGAGTATCCTTCAGAGGATGCGACTGACACGGTAACAATGCTTCGTCGAGATAAAGTTTCAGGTGTGCTATTGCTGGGTTATTATATTATGTCATAAAGTTCATAAAGTGCTGTTGTATGCATTTGACAATTGTACTTGTGGTGTATTCTGATTGATTGTGATATTTTGTTTGCAAGTAAGAACAAGCGGTATATGTGGAATATGATCGTTCTAATAATGAAGGTAACGCAAAATTATGGACATTTTCCTTATGTTCCTATTCTAATTATATATCATAGTGTATGCATGACCAATACGCAGATATATCTAGTTTGATGGTACTGCACGCACACTGTCATACTTTCTACTATATTAGGAGATTCAGAAAGTTGTAGTTATTATTGAGTGTATAGTCATAGGTCATATATAATTTCAAGTTGAACTTCATATAATTACATTTGACACACTATTAAACTTCTCCGAGAATTGACATCCTAACCTATCATCCTACTTTTTTTTACATAAGTTTAAAAAGGTATTCATTGTCCTAGCCTATGCATAGTCTGTTAGAATATTTTCCCGGCTGTCCGTTGCTGTCGTTACACCAGACTAAAATCATATCAGGTTCTGTGAATTGGCTGATTGCCTGTCATTATGCCCCTATCATGCTCATGCTTTTGGGTTGCCTGGATTGCACTACATTTTGACATAGCAGGACTATATCTGACTGCAGTTTTCAAAACTATTCACTCATTTATCAGATTATATATAGAAAGAGCAACAATAATAAAAAAATCAGACAAAAAGGGCATCAGCTCCAAGTACTCCCTTTAACTATACGAGGAAATACATATTCTCGCTGCATATATCATTTCAGGAGCGTCAGCCCAGTTCCCCAGCACATGGGTTGGCATGAACTCCACAGATGATTTTAGGCTTCTTCAGGTACAAAATGGGAATCAGGAATTTACCAGGGTACGCCAGACGTTTACAGACGCAGTCGGAAATATGCCTGTCCAGATTCAAAGGGTAAGTGAAGCACACTCGCCTCTTCGACGTCATTTCCTCATGAACCACTTGACCAATGAAGTTCTCAACTGTGATGATACCTGGCTCTGTTCAAGAGGTTCGATTCCGACTTTCAATTCGGCCGTAACAACGCCAGTGTTGAAAAACCTACTTGTGACCATGAATTGGATGTCAATGCTGGCAGCAACATTTGTTAAGTCTCGGTTGACATCATAATCTGTTGACTAAATAGCCAGGAAAGCTACAGTGCCGTGATACTACTTTTACTTTTACGTCACACTACGTGTCGTCCACAACAGCCTCTTCTTGTCATAAGTAAGGTCAGGTTCATTGACCTGGTTGCTTGCGTGTCATCGTACCTCAACAACATGGATCGTTGCTGATAATATCAATCACTGATTGGTCGTATCCAGAACCAAAAATGTACAGAGCGTCGTCATTAAAACTGGAAATACTTGAGTGTAAACCAACCAATATGATGATTGGTTATATATTTTAGTATTTTAGTGTGAAAGATTGAGTTTTCTGAAGTTGAGAAAAGTGATATTTTCATTGCAGTGAACATAACAATTGATATTCCACTGCAGTGAACATAACACTTTCACGGAACTATCGTCATACAAGAGTTACCTCCCCTAAATTGTCTTGCTTTATCGTGTCAAGCCCGTACACAATCTGTTGACGTCCTCTTTACGTTATTTCCACATTGACAAGGCAAAATAATGACAGATGCTCATTTATGGAGTTGATATCACTTCTTGCTATTTGTTATTCTCTCGACAATGTTTTGTTATAAACTATATTTTTTCGTCAATGGAGAATTTCAGTTTTCAAGAATTCTTTTTGTTAAAGTTGATTTTGAATTTACGTTTCAAGGTTTTACATTTGTAAAGAAACAATTTAATTTTCAGGTAGGCAACTACACAAAAAGTATATAATAAATAGGATATTTCATGTGTCGAGTGATATATCATGTTTCTCTCATCTCGTGACAGGAGGAAATGAGATATATTCCCCCTTTACGAGATGAGAGAAACATGAGATTTCACTCGCTACATGCAATATCCTCTGTGTATGTGTTCAGATCGACAGAGTGCAAAGCAAGACCCTCTACCAACAGTATCAAGCCAAGAAACAACAGTTGGAAAAGCAGAACCCTGGAACAACGGTAGAAAGGACGCTGTGGCATGGAACTCCACAGGCGGCAACCGTGAGCATCATGACATATGGCTTCAACAGGAGCTTCTGCGATAAAGACTGTGAGTTTCATATTTCATGAGTTTCTTTCTGATGAACACGAAATAGACAGACAACCTTTTAGGACAGTTTTAACATTTTAACTATGCGCATGTCATTAAGTATTTGACGCGTGGACGTATTTTCAATGATTCCAGGTAATGCCCTTGGGGCAGGAGTTTACTTCACCTCTGATGCCGCCTATGCTTCTAGAGACCGCTATGCCCCGGCCGATTGTCAGGGCAACCGATTCATGTTCCTCTGTAAAGTACTCACAGGATCATACACCCAGGGCCAACCTCAAATACGAACACCACCACAAAAGGACCCTGTTAAGCAAGAACTGTACGACAGTGTTGTAGATGATCCAGCAAATCCAAAGATCTTTGTCGTATTCAGTGATACGCAGGCATACCCTAAGTATCTTATTTCATTCCAGTAACAATGTGTTTAGGAACTGATTTGGCATGTCACTAGAAAAATGGGTATTTACCAGCGTGAATCTTGTTATTTTGAACTTGCAATAGTAATTCGGGATCAATATCATCCTTTCCTAATTGTTTCGTCAGTACTCAATGAGAGTCATTTCAGTATTGTGTATGTCTTAATTTTAGCGCTAGCCTCTCTCAGGAACTAGCACTTGTAAATGATTTATTGAATAATGCAACTTTTGCTTTTAATATCTGTTGCAGTAGTAAGTGTATAATTATATCAGTGTTTGTGGCTTGTATATTTTGAACTGGTAAGTACTTTCACATTTGGTAATAGTAAACACGATTTGCTTGCTTTTGAATTCCATGTGAAGTGTCCGAAAACACTCACTACATTTGGTCATAATACCCTGTGAAGAAAGATTCAAATGCATGGTAGTGCACCAGAAAGGTTTAGAATTGTATGAAAACTAGCTCATTCAAGATGATGACGTTTTGACTGTGATAAGAAAGACTATGTAGCGTTAGAAGGTAACTTGGTTTAGGGAAAGTTATGCCATTACCTATTAGCTGTCCATATCATGTAAACATTAATAGGTTAATGCTTAAACAGATTTCTTTAGTTACTTCCAAACTTCTGAAGCTTGTACACCCTAATGCCAGATGCTACTAGCAGGGAAGGACATGCTTTCCCTTTCAGCGAACACCTGATGCCATCAGGTTCAGTGATCCAATTTTGCCTTCCAAGTGTTAACGTTTTATGTTTAGTTCTGTCTTCTTAGGCCCAGGTATTTGCTTAATAACAGTTCATAGATAAATCATAACAAGATCTTTAATATCTACTTCCACCATAGGATGCTATTCATTTTTCTGATATTTGTAATGTTTTATTCATGTATGGGAGGCCACAGGCCAATGTACATTTCAGCTGTAAAGTAAATAAATTTTCAGTTTTGCTGTATTCCCTTCGAAATCCGCCCTGAGCTTCAGGAATTGTGTCATAAACTTCTTCTGTTATCAGCAACGTTCCAAATACATCCATCATCGTTATTCCTGTAGAATTATAAATATCATTTATATTATTTTTCTGATGCAGAGGAATTATTATACCATTTGCCCACTCATGTGTGAACACACCGTTATGCATTATCCTAAATACAACTATAGTTGAGCAATTGCAAAGAAATGCTGCAACATTTCATATCGGTCCTGCCGATTTGCCCAATTTAAAGTTGTGTGCGGCTTATAATACGTCTTCAGTTATATCAGGGTTCAGGAGATTTTTCACAACACGATCGTTACAGAAGTCACACTCTTCAGTATCATGTTTGTTCAATAAACCTGCTCTCTCGTGAAGAGTGCCACCATCCACAGGTACAGCAGTTAACTTAAACACATGCCGAAAACATTCGGGCCACTGCACATTGGGTCAGACCCATTAGGCTTCAAGATATATAGTTTGAGACAATTTCCGAGCTGTATCAGCTTTCAACATTTCCACGTTATATACAAGTATTCAGTCAAAAATACCGGTACTGTTATCTTTCAAAGAATTGTAAAACTCTTCAGCCAGTTGTGTAGATTAAATTAAAGCGACAAAACCATGTCCATAATCACATGAACTCTCTCCTAATCCATTGCACGATTCCTGATTAGTAAGCATGTTCATATGAACAACTATCAACTTGTGATGACACTAGGTGTTCGCGAAAAGTTGAGCAAGATTTGTGTGACATCTTTGAAATCTTCGTCGACTGTTCGGGGGTTCTTGTGATATTGTGGATATTATCCCGACTTGGCTCTTTATCCATCCATGGGCAGATATATGAGATGTCTCTCATTCCATTGAAAGGAAAAGCAATGTAGAAATGCCGGTATGACAGTCTGTAATGACTTTACAGAATTTTACTGAAGTTTACTGGAGTCGAAACCCATGTTGTGAAGTAGTACTTCCCATGTTGCATCAATATAATATATTTCTTGATTACTGTGTTTGACATAAAGATGATGTTTAATGAGTTAAGTGTAATGGTAATATACAATAATATACCATAAATTTCTATTATATAAACACAAGAATAAATTGGAAAAATGACCGATCTTCTTTTTCTGTTCTATTGGTCACGCTACTAAGGGGCGCAACTCTGCTCAGCACTTAAGACGACTGGGTCTGTCGTGCTCCTCACGGATAAAGTTTGTTTATTTGTTTTTTGTTTAACGCCGCACTCAGCAATATCCCAGCTATATGACGGCAGCCTTAAATTCATCGAGTCTGGACCAGATAATCAAGTGATACATATTGACAGACAACAAAACCCGGCAAACGTTGTTATGCGTTAGAATCTCAATATACAACTCAGATCACACCCTATGGTACAAGACACTCATTCATTTCCCACATCAGTACATGTTAAAAAAGAGAATAATACATCCCTTTGTATTTCTTTTATTTCCATCAGCAGATACAATCCTCAACAATTTACTTATTCATTTAAAATATATTTACAAAATCTACAGGATATTGTTCCATATTCTACAGGATATTGATTTAAAACATATACATGCTTAATTGGACATTTGTCCTTCTCACTGAACATCAATCACTTTCCTTCCACCAGATAGTCACTTTGCCACTTCTTGTTCTTAAAGACTCTCTGAGTATATATATATATATATATATATATATATATATATATATATATATATATATATATATATATATATATACAAACATACTTATACTCACACGCAAAAGAAACGCAAGTGGTTTTAAGCAAATATGTTACAAACATGGAACCATAAATTGATACGAGTTTTAGCATGTAGTGAAGCCTGATGGTGTTATCAATATTTTAAGTTGCATTTTGGAAGTCCCGAGTAAAAACGCAACATAAACAACGAATCGCCAAAACGCATCATTTCAATGAATATGTGGGGTATCATGCACTCATTTCTCGCGAGATCGAAAATGCACGAACTGTCACGAACTGTAGTGGGTATAAAACTGTGGCCGATTCTTGGACCTACCACTCCTTGGTCAACAATGCCACGCCTAACTAAAATTCAGAGAAACCAGGCTATCGGACGTTTGGAAACTGCAGAGTCTGTCCAAGATGTTTCAGCATTAACATAACCTCAATTTACCGTCTCCTGCATCGATACAATGCTACACAGACCACAGATGACCTTCCTCGGAGCGGTCGGCCTAGGGTCGCCATACCTCGACAAGGTCGGCAGATTTCCCGTCAACACCAGCAACATCCGTTCCTGACTGCAAGAGAGAATGAATGAGGGTTGTTTTTGTCGCTTTCGAACCAACCATATCAAATCGGGGAACACTCTGTGAGTGAATGAATTAAGGTAGTTTTGTGTCGATCTCGACATATCTCAGCCACGTCAAATCGGGGAACACTGAGTCTCTGTGAGTGAATGTATGAAGGTGTTTTTCCGCTTTCAGACATATCCCAAACATATCAAGTCGGAGAAGACGCTGTAAGTGAATGAATGAAGGTGGGTTGTGCCGCTTTTAGGCATATCCCAGCCATATCAAATCAGACGACGCACTGTGAATGAATGAATGAAGGTGGTTTTTTTTGTCACTCTCGACATATCGGGGAACATGGTTTTGTCCGGCTTTCAGACATATCCCAACGAGAGAGAGAGAGAGAGAGAGAGGTGAGGTGAGGTGAAATTGGGTTTAACGTCGCGTCCAAGATTATTGCACTTATATAGCGACGTGCATGCACGTGTATGTGTGTGTGTGGCTGCTTGTACTAGTCCGGACTGATGCCGATTTGTAGTGCTAGCCCACTGAGATACCATGCCGCAGTTTAACATGAATACCCCACTCAGACACAGTATACTGACTCCGAGCCGACCAGTCCTTGTTTTAGCCCCTTAATGCCGAGCGCCAGACAGGGTAACACCAAGTACCATCTTTTAACGTATTTTGGTATGACGCGGCCCGAGATCGAACCCTGGACCTTCCGCTCTCCGGGCGGACGCTCTACCACATGACCACGGAGGCGGTCGAGAGAGAGAGAGAGAGAGAGAGAGAGAGAGAGAGAGAGAGAGAGAGAGAGATTCTCCCGAGTGTCTTTTGATATCAAATATATCAACACGAGTTGATAAAAGTGGAAAAATTCCGTGGCTTTCCGAGGATTTTTACCACTTTTATCAACGAGTGTTGATACATTTCATATCAAAAGACACGAGGGTGAGATTTTATTTATCATCCAACTTTTTCAGTTTGTAGATAGTAATTGTCTTCAGTGTAAAATGTACTGCTCACAGCTTCAGTAGCAGAGCCATTAGTGATGTCATTTGTGGTTTCTGAAAAAGACAGATATATGTTCTCGTTTACAAGGTCGATGTACATGGATTTTCAGATTTGTATGAATATTCTAACAATTGAAACCTCCACCAGACGCCGAATTTCAGAGCAGCAATTACTCAATATCACCCGCCAATCTGATTCCACCGCCAGGTCTAGTTCTAAGTAAAAGGGGACTATGGTCCACGATCTGTTTGCCTGTTAAATATAGAATATTAAAATTGAGATTATTAATTATTCTTTGAATCAGAGACAGTGTCTGTGTAATTATTGTGATCAGTGATCATCAACAATTGAAGCGGTAGACAAACAAAATGGTTTTCAGACATCTCAGATACAACTTGCTCGGGCTGCCAATGTGTTCGAGCCAAGTCGCAATATAAGGTCAGTGACATGGATGCAGGCGGGAGGTCTTCGTCCTGTACAAAGAAAACAATTTCAAACAGGCTTAATAATATTTTGCTGTGTAAAGTTCCCCACTACTGCCTTTGTTCCAATTACATATGTGGCCCTGACCGTTTGTACACTGAAGACAGCTGTCGTGATTTCCACATGTGACAGATTCACACATGACCACTGAGGTTTTGATCAATTGACTTAATCAAGAAGATAACCTATATATTTTGAATTAGCTGATGTCAGTCAAGGTACGGGCGATCGCTTGCTGAGAAAGTGTGAAAAACGGATTTGTCGTTAGCCATACGAACATTTCTGATAATGTTCATACCAATATTTCACCAAATACCCAAACCTTACAAATTGACATTTCCATTGGTCCAAATCAAGTTCTTATCCTACCTCGTCGTTTCATGGAACAAGTAACACCCGTGCATAGTGTTCCCTGAAGAGCGCATAAAATTAATTTCTATTTTCATATCATATAAGTATGGTGAATTAAGAAAATAAGGCATTCATTGAACACATATATAGACTATTCATGATTCGACCTTAAGGAGAAATTGGATTTTTAGGAAATTATCCATCATTATATTAAGAAATATGTATTGCTGGAAAAAATATACTGTACATCATTTTATCCTTTCTATAATATTTGTTCATCGTGTTCTGTTAAAAAGATAGCAACCTTGTGTAAAATAGAAAAACAAATATACCACTATCCGTCAATAAATGTATAACTATCATTTAACAAAATATAACGATAAGAAGGTAAGGTACAATTTGCAAACTTTTCGTTAGAATATAGGTCTACTTTGACAGTAGGCTAGAATCAAAGGCCATCATTTACACGGCCTGTGGGAGCGAAGGGACTTCTTATCGATTTATCACATTCATGGATTAAATATTTAAAAAATATATGAAATAAAAGCGACATAACCCTTTACGATTACGATTTTAGCATGAGCATGTGTTTATGAATCACTATCAAATAGTGATGACACCAGGTGTTCGCGAAAAGTTGACGTAGCCTGCCCCACTGGTCACAAACACATGCAAAGGCAAATCAAGTGTTCATGTGAAAAACATGGGAACATAGGGTACAAGTTAAATAGGAACTTGCATCGGGCATCATTCTTGTCAGTGAAATATTACTATTTAAACATTAAATCTCAGTACAAGCAAAACAAAGAGGCAAGTTTTCCTTCAAACATTTCGATTCCGACTTTATCATGAGCTTGTGTTTATGAATCACTATCATATTGAATACTGATGACACCAGGTGTTCTCAAAGGTGTTTGCACCAGGTGAGGAAAAATGATAACGTCAAACAACGGCATTGGAAGCTTGATAATCAACATTGAGAACTGTTTCCATTAAAGTACATATTTCTGTACACACGAAACATACACAAGACATATTTCCGAGCTTTTAATGATGTGAGTAAGTGATTTTGGTTTAACGCGGCTTTGAACGTTATTCCACTAAAAATCAGGGCGTGATTATTTAATGTGAGAGGAAAGCCCGAAGTAATGCAGATCTAAGATGTTTACCACTTTGGAGAAACCAGCGAGCACGGATATGGTTTTAAAGAACAGCTTACTTAACCCTAACACTAAATCAACAGTTGTCTTAAATTAATTCAGGGTATGATTGCAACAATATATTTGCATGCATTTACAACTTCGTTTTGGCTCAGTCCTGCGTTCTCTCCACACTACATGTCTTGACAGTTCTTGACATCAACGCAGGCAATCACTCGGTCAACATGTGCGCATGTTTGTCCAATATGGCGATGTGTGAGCAGCACACGGTGCATCTTATCTCTATTAAGTCGCCAACACTTTACACCTGCAATAATTCATATAAGGATGAGGCCAGCATACGTAGCAGAATTGACATTGCCTTCATGATGTCTCGAAGTCTTCTCGTCCTCTTGTTTTGTTTGACCTCACTGACTCTGGCAGACAGAGAGAGAAGCCCTAATATCATCAAACACCAAGGACCGAAGGTATTTCATTTGTCTCATTTACGTTTAAGAGTGAGTGAGTGAGTGAGTGAGTGAGTGAGTGAGTTTGGTTTATCGCCACTTTGAACAGCATTCCAGTTATATCACGACGTGTTAGATTGTTGCGATGCAGGTCTTAGACGTTTATACCTTTGCCCAGATGACGCAGCTCTACACAGAGAAATGCGGCGCCTCAGAAACTGGTTCTTATGTTTGTTTGGTGGTTCTGTCTTTTCAATAATTGTCACCGCTTTTTTTATCCTTGACATCAAAAGGAATCTGTTTCGGCGGATAATCGATAATCGCATTTTATGTTTCAAATTATCGATATATCACATGACCATGCAACTGTATGAGTGAGCATTGTTTTAAGCCGCAACAGTCCAACCACATCACGCTGGGTGACACGACAGATGGACTTCATTGTACCAAAGCGGGAATCCTCGGCGAACGAGCAAAAGCTTTATGCTGTATACTCCTCAGCCGTCCCAACGCTGTATGTGTTTTGTTTGACAGTTACCCAGATACGAGCAGCCTGGCGGTGTACCCTCCCACCCTCTGCACTACGTGAATCATGGGGTAGACGTTGCCTACCCCGTTGGGGTGAGTCATTTAATTCCACAGCATTTATTACGTGTAGTTATTTTCTAGACGTAGCAGTTAATGCATACTTGTTGGTGTGAGATTTGATAGAGCCACTGATATAAATCTCGCTTCACCACATAGCAGTTGAAACAACGACCTAACCGTCATGCAACGGAATGTGAATTTTTCACCTAATACCGATTGTCATATCTGTCCCACTTTTGGATGCGATCGTTCGGCCACTGGGTTTACCTGCGTAGCCCAGCCACATCTAAAGGGACCAACTCTAAAAAATAATGTCGGCCAATATAGGACATGTTGTCATGTTGCGAGCGCATATTCGAATCTCCAGAAATGACGTCATTATAGAGCAATGTTTCATCGTGAAATGAACCACGATTCGTTCTTAATCGTTCTTTGCGATTTATCGCGTAGCTATCTTATATATGATTATAATACTTTTCAATGTGGAATTACAACCCAACTCATTCTTTCCCCAGGGTCGTGACTATCACAGGGAAGGAGCGCAAAAGCAGGCAGAAATAGAGCAGGAGGTAAATATTTCATTGTTAGTGATACATAACCTTCACCTATAACGTTGTAACAACGCCCCACCCAATGCCAGTTCATAATGCGTGTGCTTCTGTGACACAAAAGTGCATAATGTATATGAAATATGAAACTACGGTTATAACGAACACGCTTATAACGAACTGACCGATATAACGAACTTATTTTTAGCCCCGGCCATTTGTTGTATATATGTTGTATATATGCTTATAACGAACTACGGTTACAACGAATTAAAATTAGTGGTCCCTTTGAGTTCGCTATAACTGTAGTTTACTGTATAGACTTAAGACTTTTCCAGCTGTCCTCGTTGAATACATCCAATACTCTGACAGTATGTCAGACAATATGCCACTGGCCAAAAATACAGACATATATTTCAGAGCGTTCAAAGTTATGGCTACTAGAACGTACTGATTCACAGATATCAGGTGTGGTATTCTTGAACATTAAGCATATATAGTGGTATTAAACACGTGGTTCATGAATAGATTTAATAATATGAAAGCGGAGTTAAGCAATCATGGCATTTAGCCTGTACATTTGTACGTGCATGTTTTTCAGCTTTTGGAGTCCAAGCTGAACCGGGCCAAATCATCTGCAGAAGGAAAAGATCTCGTCCGGAAGAAGCGCTTCCTTGATAAAACCGTCGCCTGGGAAAACGGAATCATCCCTTATGAAATAAGTGGCATACGTAAGTTTGTTTGTTTGTTTGTTGTTTAACATCGGACTCAGCAGCAACATCCCATCGATATAACGGCGGTCTGTAAACAATGGACCAGACAATCCACTCATTGACACCATGAGCATCGATCTACGCAATTGATGACTTACACCAACGATGTCCGCAAGCCTGACCACCCAATCCCGTTAGTCGCCTCTTACTACAAGCATAGAGGAAAGCATGGGTTGCTGAAGACCTATTCTAGCCAGGATATTCACGGGTGCCTAAGTACTCATCCTCAAACGTTCCGTTCCCCCGTGGGGACTCGGGGTAAGGTTGCTTATTACTGTGCAATGGTATTTGAAAACGTGTTTATTATTTCATGTCGCAAGCTAACACGCTGTGATGTTGAAATACTCTTCAAGCGACTCACTCAATCAGTAATTGATATCCTGCTGCACATTGCAGGTGCCTCATTGTATGTGTGCAATGGTATTTGAAAACGTGTTTATTATTTCATGTCGCAAGCTAACACGCTGTGATGTTGAAATACTCTTCAAAGCGACTCACTCAATCGGTAATTGATATCCTGCTGCACATTGCAGGTGCCTCATTGTATGTGTGCAATGGTATTTGAAAACGTGTTTATTATTTCATGTCGCAAGCTAACACGCTGTGATGTTGAAATACTCTTCAAAGCGACTCACTCAATCGGTAATTGATATCCTGCTGCACATTGCAGGTGCCTCAGCTGAGGCGTATGTGAAGAGCGCAATGGCAACAGTCGAGCAGTACACCTGTGTCCGGTTCTTCGTCCGTAACAGCGGCGGCTACAGCGTCCCCCACAACGTCTACCTACGCTTCATATCCGGCAGCGGGTAATCTCCAGCGTAGATAGTCTGCGTTACCTTGTATTTGATTATTTCAGATTCATAATATCAAAGAATGCATTTTGTGATGAATGCATTGTGTTAACAAATAACAAACTGAACACATGAAACATGCGCCCATAACCACGGGGGATGTCTTTCTTCAATTTCATCTGTCAACGACTTTCTCCACCTCCATCTCCCAACGTCTTTGTCCACCTCCATCTCCGAAGGACTTTCTCCACGTCCATCTCCCAACGTCTTTCTCCACGTCCATCCCCCGACGTCTTTCTCCACGTCCATCCCCCGACGTCTTTCTCCACGTCCATCCCCCAACGTCGTTCTCCACGTCCATCCCCCGACGTCTTTCTCCAACTCCATCCCCCAACGTCTTTCTCCACGTCGATCCCCCGATGTCTTTCTCCACGTCCATCCCCCAACGTCTTTCTCATTCTCCATCTCATAACGTCTTTCTCAACTCCACCTCCCAACGTCTTTCTCCACTTAAATCTCCCAACGTTCGTCTCCACTTTCATCTCTCAACGTCATTCTCTACCTTCATCAGTCATCGTCTTTCTCCACCTCAATCCCCCAAAGTCTTTCACCGCCTCCATCTCCCAACGTCTTTCTCTACCTTTATCTGTCAATATCATTCTCTTCCTCCATCTCACAATGTCTTTCTCTACCATCACCATCTGTCAACATTGTTCTTAGTCTTCATCAACTAACGTCGCCTTTTGCGTTCCTTCAACGGGCTGCTTCATCTTCATCTGCCAACTTCATCCTTTTGCTTCACTTACTGTTTTCATCCCTTCGTCGGTTGTCCATTTACTTCATTCATAGTTACCTGGTATGGATAAACCAAATGTAATGTTGATTCATATTCCATTTCAGTTGTTACTCGTACGTTGGACGAACCAACCGGATCCCACAAGATATATCACCATGCAACGATTATGTACGTATTACTTGAATATAATAAAAAGTAGAATACAAAAACTTTGCTGTACTTTGAAAATATACTATATCTGAAAATTTGGGTCAGGGCAAATGTTATCATCCGGATATGAAGCCGTGCCATGCCTGTAGGAATATGTGAAGTTCATGCCAATGTTTTATTTCCCTCTAGTACACGGCACTCCATGAGATTATCCACGCAATGGGGGGATATCATGAACAGAGCCACTACGATAGGGACCAGAACATCCATCTCAAGCTGAACAACGTGTTGTCAGGCAAGTAGTATATGATGTATGCATAAGCAGCTTGACATCTGGGAGCACAGTGATGCCGTCACCGCTGTAGTAATGATGTAGCGCCATTACACAGATTATTATTATTATTATTATTATTATTATTATTATTAACGACCATGTACTGAATCAGCAGTGCAACTGGTAGGAGGTTCTTTATGTTACTGAAATATGATTAATAATCATATTTTGAATGCATATCCATAAAGACATAACATTGTGTTATATCAATGGTGCAGCCATGTCATACATACAATTTACGTGTGTACAGCCTCCATTTCGCTTTATCCAAAACCATAACTAGCATGATGACAGCGTTCAGTATTTTACTGTATTTAAGACATGTACCTCTTCCCGAGGCAAGAGAGTTAACCGACTTTAAAAGTCCAGTTTCAACCCTGTCGGACATGTCAATTTTATGAACAGGGGGTTAAATGTTTTATTTCCCCCATACTCTCATAATTTTCACGTCGATTATCTGTACCTACCCTCCCAATACGGATTGTTATAATATCTCTAATATTTTAAGTGAGATAGTTCGGCCATTGCGTTTATCTACGTTGCCCAGTTACATCTATGGGGAACTACTTACTAGACACTTCAATCTAAAAAATAACGTCGTCCAATTTACGACGTCATTAAGTTGCGAGCGCATGTTGGTGTCTCCAGAGATGACGTCTTGATAGAACACTGCTTTATCGTGACAAAAACCAAGCTTCGTTCTTCAGTGTTCTTTGCGATTTATCGCGTTGCTATCATATATTTCATGATAAACAGAAGTTTTTTAAGACAGTGGCGAGACTACTGCGCAGCAAAAAGTCAAGTGCTTAATATACTTTTGGAATTGGAATGTTAACATCCCACCCTAACCCGCCCCACCTCCAAACAAAACAAGACACTTAGATTTCCTTAAACAGAAATTAGAGACGTGAAACGAAAATACAATCCAACTCACCTCGATAAGAATCTTTGGCTATGGTATTCTCCTTCAAAAGATGGTGTCATTTGCTAACCATGTTCATTTTTGGCAAAGGGCAGCCAACAAGGTGCACTTCCAACTGCTTATGTTCATTAATGGGAAAATATCGGGACATCTGAGGGCATATCAACCTTGAATCACATAAGTTTTTATAGACAAGTCTGATGTTTAGAAAGGTTGTGATCCATAATCAGGATGGTATATGTTGCTTATCTTCTAATGCTAAGCCTGAAAACGAGTGCATGCTTTTCGGCCATCGATTTTATAGCTTGTAGATGTTTCTAGATTTGAAGTAAGCTCTATTATCAATGAACATAAGAACCGAGTTCAATTTGAGCCCAGTTGTGTTTGTAGGTATTCATGGTGGGATGTAAATATAATGCCCCCCAGCGTCACATTTATGTTTATTAAACATTAAATACCCTACCTCCCTCCTCACTTTTGAGAAACATGTGTCAGAGAAATATTAAATGTGTTTAATACAGCTTAGTCCTTACTGTGTACACTTGTGTTCGTTACAGTACTGTACATGGTAAAACAAATGAGTGAGTGGGTTGGGTTTAACGCCGCTTTGAAGCTATTCTTTTGAGAATATTAAATGAAAATACAGCATGATATTTTCATCGGGTTTTCTTTCAGGGCGAGAGGGCAACTTTCGATCTTTTTCCGAGATTTTTCGAAATGACTTCATCATCTATCCCTTCAATGGCCAGTCGACCATGCATTACAGTGATTTTGTAAGTAAATTGTATTAAACAGATAACCATTTAAAAGACTAATACTGGCTGTTATGAATGATATCCAAGCCCTGTCTGGTTTCAGCATTGGCATGCGCAGTCGGCGGTCAGAAGGTAGAAACTGATATTCGGAATGAAGGATATGACTGCTGTCATTTAGTATCTTACGCGCCTTTTTGACAATTTGCTGCTCATAAATTTCGCCGATGTCTTGAAACTGGGTGCTTGAGATTTTGCTTGCTGTACTTAACATTTTATGTATTTTTAGATTTATTTTGAACAGACAGGCTCCCGTAGATGTAAAGGTCACAGATGATTTGATACCATTTACAGTCACAATCTGTGGTCTGTTTACAAGAAAAGATTCTATCCATTTAAAAATTGTTGAATTAACAGACATGTTAGATAATTTTTGCATAAGCAGATGAGGCTGTATGGTATTAAAAACAGAGGAGAAGTCAACAAACAAGATGTCTACAAATGAACTGGGAGTTTTAAGATGTTTGTGTATATTGTTTAACAGTGTAATTGGCATCCTCGATAACGTCGATTGAACAGTAACTCCCGGCCTGTCAGCTTAGCTTGGGGTAAAGTTTGAGGTTTGAGACCTTAGACCCTTTGTTGAACCCAGGAGCACGACTGTGGTGCTGGGAATACAAAATCAGGGTGAATTCAAGCGTTTCAACACCCGATCATTGAATCCTAGAACGTCTAAGGGAAGCAACTTCGCACATGCGACTGTGACAAGTGGTTAGAGAAAGTATACTGAGTGTGTTTTTAACGTAATTTAAATTTAAAGACCTGTTGTTAAATAAGAGTAGGTCTATTTAAACATTAAACATTCCTACAACAGTCTGTAAACAGTAATCTGTGTCTGGGCAAGTTTGTGATAATAAATTGGTTCAATGAAGACTGAGGTAAGAAATGAATTTGCAATCACATGATTCCTACCATGTTTGACATGTTTTAAATGTGAGCCGATAAAGGAAATTCTCTGCTTTTCAAAGATAAGTTGTCTAAGACGTTTAAAGATTTAAATGTTTTGAGTGAAATGTTATTTTAAACAATTTAACCGTGTAGAAGCGTTCTTTGAGTGGTGAAAAAGCTCTAGTACAATGTATTGTTTGGATAACACAACGGTACGTTAAGTACTAAATTGTGAAATCAATCAATTAACACACAAGGTCAATGAACAATCAACAAATTATATTTAAATACACAGCATTTGGTTTAGAATCATAAAAGGCAAAACAATGTGGCTGCAACAACATAAATATCGGGTCTTATCTCAAAAGTCTCAGCAATTCCAGTATTTGTAACAGCTGAATGACTGGAGTGAGGCACATGCTCTGTTCTTGAATCCAGGATACAGTGTTGAAAGCAAACAGAGGGGTCAGTGTTTTCCGATAGTTATCCCGTCCGCACTAGTAGATAGGTCGCAAGTCAAGTCGAAGAAAGAAGGCCTCGAATCGCCCTCGTCTCGCACTTATATCAGTACAGCCACCCTTCTAGAATATACTGCCGCGAACCGCCGCGAACAACGTAGTTTGCCCTAACTGTAATAACTGTAAACAATTCATGCTCCTCACAGCGGAGCTCTCTATATACGGGGAGTATAGAAGGTGTCAAGCGCTGGGACGGAGTTGGGCTATAAACAACCAGGGGAAGTCACTCTAAATCAAGACCACTACCACAACTCAACTTCATACGAGCGCTTCAATCAATTTGCTGCCACTTACAGCCATCAAAAAAAGGATGCAATACACACTGCCACATAACGATACAAATATGATACTTGATGTACGTCACTACTGGCGTAGGTTTGTCATTCGTTTAATGGAGAAAAGGAACTGTCATTCATGCGGTAAAAGTTTCAATGCTGACAGTAACTACGGAACATCTATTGTAGGGTTTCAGCAAAAACGGCCTGCCCACCATAGACCCATACTACGATGACATAGCGACGTACCGTGACGGTTTCTGGTACAGCATGAAAGAAGTGAACGAGGCGTACCAATGCACTCGTGAGTTTCTACGCGTTCTTTTGGTGAATTTCAAATTTAGGCTTCTCGTTTATTGTCCTGTTTGAGTGAATGGTTCAACCCCGCTCTGAACAGTGTTTCTGTTATATCACGGCGTGTCACCTTAATGTAAAAGGAAAGAGATGCAACGCACGAGCACATGGTCATCACCTGGAAGTGTCTTGCTTAATTACCGCATTTTCGCGGTAGGGTCATCCTACAATATCTATAAGGTTGCACTGCAGTGATATTTCAGCGACTGCTTAATATTGAGGTGTTCGTACACTGAAACAGTGTGGGTCTGTAAGAGAAGTGGGGTAAGGTGAGATGAAATGGGGTTCAAGATTATGTCACTTAAATAACGATGAGCATGCGAGGCGTGACTGCCTGTACTTGTCCGGACTTATAGTGCTGGCCCTTTGAAATATCATGCCACAGGTTTATATGGATACCCCACTCACATTAACTGACTCCGTGCCGACCTTCCTTGTTTACTTCCATCTTGTAACGTCTTTCGGTATGGCGCCGTCAGGGGATCGAACCACCGACCTTCCACTCCCCGGGCAGACGCTCTATCCACTAGGCCACAGAGGTGGTCGGACTTTAAAGGATTTGTCGTAATACTGTGGAATTATATCTTGACGTTGTCTCGTCCATGGAAATGGGGTGGGGTGGGGGGAGGGGTTGGTCGTCCATGGAAATGGGGTGGGGTGGGAGGAGGGGTTGGTCTGCATGATGTTATAAATCAGTTTTGACAAAAGCCATACCTACCAGGGTTTGTACACACTACATGCCCCCATCAACCGTGAATACATACGACCGCATTGCGGTGAAGTAGTGACGCGCTTCTGTTCCTAATCAGGCAATGAACATTCAACGAGCCCTTCTCCGTTCTTTGTGCGAACCTGACCACTGCATGACATTGAAGGAATGTTCAAAGTAGGGCCCGCAAGGTGATGGCACGCTCTGTACCAGAAACATTGTCTATGTAATCTGATTGTCTCATTGGTCTGATCAATAGTTGAGACTTTTTTATGCAAATTGTGTGAATGGCAAGTGCTACAGGTAGGGAAGGACATGCTTACCCTGTTTGCAAACACCTGGTGTCATCACTGATTCTCAATGGTCCATTCATGTAATCTTCACAACTAATAAGTCCTTCAGGCCAATGGAATCTGTTTCGGCGGATAATCTAGACTGGTTGTCCTCTTTTGAAAATTTCTATGTTTATTGATTAATGTAGATTACAAATAGTAACTACATCACAAAGCGGTCGTATATATTCACGGGTATTGGAAGAACGTATAATATACCGTTACATGGCGTTGGAATCCACATGTCACTGTTCCTATTTTACAGAGCTCTGTACCAGCGGTATCCCAACATGCTTGAATGACGGCTACCCCGGATACTACGAGGGTTCGTGTGAATGTATCTGTCCCGAAGGTCTGAACCCGGCAACCAACTGCGCCACATTTCTTCCTGGATGTACGTGAGCTAATTCGTCACCGCAAGGAACTGCATCAACACGCTATATGTTACTTTGAAAGTGGTATAACGAGCTTCTGTTATGTTTCAGTCACTGGACAGCTCATTGACCTGACAACATCTTCTAGGACCGCATCATTTGGCACTCCCAACGCCCCTTCCTCAACTATACCTGCGGGGTCGAAGTATATGTGGATCGTCAAGGTAAGTTAAGACAGCACCAAGTCACCAGAAGCCGTCGTGTCGGAGGTGACCGCCTGCGTGGTCTATAGGAATGAGTGTCTGCTTTGAGAGCGGAAGGTCGGTTGTTCGAATCCCGCGCCATAGGTTCTGACTAGTACAAGCAGACACACACACACGCACGCACGCACAGCCACACACAGACAGACACACAGACACACAGACGTGCATGTCGCTGTTATAAGTGCAATTTTTAACGCGATGTTAATCCCCATTTCACCTTACCTCACCTCACAGTACGAGAGCCAGATATTTACACAATGTGTTAAAGAATCTAGATTTATTACCAATATTAATAACGAAGTCCATAAACATTGTATGTGCCCTTGTGCAAATATCAATTCACGCGCTCCTGTGTCTTATTTACGTCATCCGGTATTGTTGACGTCACACTAGAAACGACGTCATAACTGAAGATTGTTGACATCATTCAACAATTATGGTTTTCTAAGATTGCGGTCGTGATTAGTAGATTTTTCAAATTGGGAGCTCAAAAGAATCAATAAATGATGGATAATAAAGAAATCATTACACTCACATGTGGATCAAACTGATTTTACGAAACTCGTGTAAGAACGCATGTATTACCCTCGCTCTTGGTCGGAAAATACTATGACACATATGCTCAAAATCAGTATGACACATATGCTCGTATAACAATCTCCATATCTGATTGGACAACCGACAGTAGTCGCCTATAAAAATAAACACACACTCACGTGCACGTCAGCTGACCATCCTGTACTGATATCGTCGTCATAATATTTGATGTGACGTCACTGTTCGTCACTGGCCCTGTTCGCATTTCGAGGTACAATAATGAGAATACGATGGCAGTAGCAATATAAATTTGTCACACACAAATACATCACCGAAAATATTTTTTTGCATGGTGTGAACTCGTAATGATAAATTCTTAACGAATGTCAATGGGTATACTGAATGTTACGTTCACGTACACCCCTCAGCTTTCGACATCGTGGTGTGTAACCCAACCAGCTCGTAACATCCCGTACACCTACTTCTGACTCATTATCTCATACTAAGTGACGCAACGTAGGTTAACCCAATGGTTCTGACTGTCGGAAGAAAGTGATTTGCAAAATACGAAGTCATCTGGCCATTTTCAGGCCCCTGCCGGCTCCAAGCTGTTCATATCCATCACCGACATGGTGGTGCCTGGTAGCGCCACCTCCTGCACTTCGCTCCTGACGGTAAAGAGGAACTTGCTGGGCCAGAACGGTACAGAGTAAGTACGTCATTGACGAGAACTGAAATAACCTACACACGTTGCACTCATTTTGAAAATGGAACCAAGGGCTCGTCATGAGAAAACCTCGACAAAACAAAATATATTATAAATTATAATCTGTCTGTCTGTCTGTCTGTCTGTCTGTCTGTCTGTCTGTCTGTCTGTATGTATCCATCATAGGGATGTGTTTATGAATCACTATCAAATAGTGATCACACCAGGTGTCTCGAATATGTGAGCGTATCCTGCCCCATCGGTGGCACCCGTCACAAACACATGCAAAAGCAAGTCAATTGTTCACCTGAAGAAATAGAACGGGAACATATGGTCAAATAGATAAACACGGGCATAACCACTGAGCTACCTAAGGATGGGATAAGACAGGAACATGAAAATGTAATAATGCAAGTATTGAATGTCCATTATATGGAGCTTTTTGCCACCATTTCATAGTTGCGGAAGTGACGTCTCTCGCTTATAATCTCGAAATAAACAACCAATCAAAATGCCTCGTACGAGGAGCACCCGATATCAACTGCCGGGCAAAAGAAAGTATACACCCGTGTTTGATGGTGGCTAAAAATGAAAAAAAAAAAAAATAGTCATTCGATGGTGATGTATTTGATACGGGTATCATAATAGTGTGTTGCTCCTTATGTTGGTCGGCGACTGTTTTCCAGCATAGTAATGCTTTTATAATGTTTATAATTCTTTGGCCCAAAACGACAGTAATATTATACGTTGAATATTATGCTATTATATATATATATTTATATTCCATGTATTTCAGTTACTGTGGTCAGGGCTTCAGTAAACCTATCATGTCTGTGGACAACGTGATAGCTCTGACCCTGGACGCTAGATCCTCCTCAGGCAGCTACCTCCTGGCCACAGCAACACTGCTTCCGGGTAGGTACTGATGTAATACACACTACCTTCGGCTAGATACTGATGTAATACACACTACTTTTGGGTAGAAACTGATGCATTATCCACTGCTTCCGGGTAGATACAAATGGTATACACACTACTTCCGGATAGGTACCGATGTAATACACACCACTTCCGGGTCGTTACTGATGTAATGCACATTGTTTCCGGGTAGATACAAATGGTATACACACTACTTCCGGATAGGTACCGATGTAAAACACACCACTTCCGGGTCGTTACTGATGTAATACACATTGCTTCCGGGTAGATACAAATGGTATACACACTACTACTGGGTAGGTACCGATGTAATACACACCACTTCCGGGTCGGTATCGATGTTGTAATACACAGTGCTACTGGGTCGGTACTGATGTATTACACACTACTTCCGGATAGGTACTGATGTGATACACACTACTCCCGGATATGTACTGATGTAATACACACTACTTCCGGCTAGGTACTGATGTGATACACACCACTTCCGGATAGGTACTGATGTAATACACACTACTTCCGGGTTGGTACTGATGTGAAACACACTACTTCCGGGTCGGTACTGATGTAATACACACTACTTCCGGGTCGGTACTGATGTAATACACACAACTTCCGGGTCGGTAGTGATGTTATACACACTATCTCCGGGTCGGTACTGATGTAATACACACTACTTCCGGGTCGGTACTGATGTAATACACACTTCTTCCGGGTCGGTACTGATGTAATACACACTACTTCCGGGTCGGTACTGATGTAATACACATTACTTCCGGGTCGGTACTGATGTGATACACACTACTTCCGGGTCGGTACTGATGTAATACACACTTCTTACGGATAGGTACTGTCATGTATGCCCAATACATTCACAAAACAGATTATATGTTCACGACTGTAGTAATTCTATGTAAAAGTAAGCTGCGATTGAACTAGCGCTCAGATCGATTTGAAGAACGAGGCCTAGCAAGAGTAAGGTTATCCAATGAAAGTCGTATATATCGCACTTTCGAAACTTTAAAATGACATAGAATAAACGCTCGTTACAAATTGTCGGTGTGAGTGAGTGAGTTGGTTTAACGCCGCTTTCACCATGATTCCATTCATATTGTCAAGCTCAGCGCGAATTGCAAACATACCTGCTTCAGTACAGACATTACTCAGAGTCACTCCATTAACTTCTTGTGAGGGATTTACTAAGGCTTCCCTGTCTATTTCTCCGTGTAAAATCAACAACAACAACAAAATGAGATTTCTTGTAATATTCATTAGTGGGGTTCAACACTTGTGGCTGTAACTTGCATATAATTTACAGAGTATGTAAATGTCAATATACCATTTGTCTTTTGCTTATGACAGTGATCAGTAGTGGACACGATTTTGTTTATAGGATATGGAAAAGTTTATAGTATACGACTAAATAGCTATCGTTGTCAAATACAAAGTATACAGTATGCTCTCCCCTCTCTGTCTCATTGAATGCATATTGCGAATTCCGGTTTATGTTGTCCATGAGTTCGCGATTCGGCGAGTGAGGGTGTCATTATATAAAGAGATGCCTTGAGCGGCTTTTAGTAAGGGTAGTGTGTTTGTATGCGATGCTGGGGTTCGACGTAGTCCCCCGAAGGACGATGATAGAAACACAAGGAGGGTATGGTGCGGGGAAACCCCTGTCACACCATCCGTAACAGCGTAGTTAATATGTTTGAAGCAACCCATGCTTGCCATAAAAGGAGACTATGCTTGTCCTAAGAGGCGACTAACGGAATCGGGTGGTCAGGCTCGCTGACTTGGTTGATGCATGTCATCGTATCCCAATTGCGTGGATCGATGCTAATGATGTCAATCACTTGATTGCGTGGTCCAGACTCGATTATTTACAGACCGCCATCATATGGCTGTAATATTGCTGAGTGTGGCGTTAAACAAACAAACAATATGTTTGACGTTGCAGCTGAGGAGTGGTGTTACAATCTGGCCGACAAAGGCGCCACCTACAATGGAGAAAGGAACGTAGCAGAAGATAACACCCCCTGCATGAAGTGGACTGACGCGGCAAAGTGTGACGTCATTCCCTTTACTTTCAGGTATGAGACCCGGTGTCGCACATATCAAACATGCTAAAGCTCGTCCAATGGCACAGGGGCGGTAGGGTAGCCTACTGGTGTCCCCTTGTTGGTGCCCCAGAAGTGTTAGTGCTGTAATATTGCCAGAACAGCGTATATCTATACTCACTACTCTGATATGACGGTTTACACTGTAAACCATGCTTTAAATTAAAGAAAAACACTTCATTTCATTAGTTTCAATTATTTAACTATGGAACAGGATGCCCAATACTACACGGACAACCAAGGGCAATGGCTGACATCTAGTTGTTTTTCAGTCTTACACTTGAAAGTTTGGGACATCTGACATGGTCAAATATACAAATATGATTAAATGAGTGAAAAGGGAAAATTATTTGAACTTCTAAGAATAAGCAAGTCCGTGACCTAAAATGACTGTTTTACAATATCTTTGTAGTTTTGTATGTTTATCTTCAATGACAATTATGTTTAAATATTTGGGAAAAGCTTCATGGAAAACCTCTATAACTGCCTTTTTATACTGATTTTATTTTTACCTGTGCATTAAGTGCTGTCCGAAACATGCAATTGTTGAAATGAACAAAGTTAATAATTAGTTCTCTTTCATATGAACATATCTTATGATATTTAAAACAATTTCTACAAGTGTTGCTCAATTCTTAAGTTATGCAGATCCCCATGGGTCAAAAATGGCCCTTATCCACCTTGTCCTTTACCTTAGTAGCTTACACGTGAATGTCGGATTCCGATTTGCTGAGACCTATTGTATCATTTGCAATGTACCCCGCTTACATGTAAAGTACACTTCTTATGTTCCCCGCTCGAATTGCCGAACTGTTGGCATTACATTTGCAAATTACCAACCGCAATTGTACATCTCGAATTAATTATGTTAGACGCCATTTTCCGGATATTAACGATATTTTCCGAGTGAAATAGATCGAGAGGAAATAACTCTAACTTAGTTTTCTGTCTTCTGTTATAAAAGGCTCAACGCGGTATTCTTACCGATTCGAATCAAAACGTTCACGTATAAGACATACCTGCAATATGATAAGTTGTGCGGTAAGATGTTTTCGTTGTCCATCGGTGACATGGGTTGATATACTTCGGGCTCAGGGAACATAAACTTATACAGAGGGTACATCAGGTGGAAAACTTAACGTAATAATGAAATAATGATGCTTTATATTAAACATGATCTAAGAAAGAATTAAGTACCCATCACCATAGTAGAACCTATAGTACAAGCAGATGATCAAAATTGAAATGGAATATCAACGATTCTAGTGAGGGGCCAGCATGTTCCGCTGGGTGGTCAAGGGCAGATAACCACACATGTACATATTTGGCGTTTTCAGTCCCTTGCAAGCTGACTATTCTGGTAATCAATGCCGGAATCCTGGTGGTAACCTACCTCAACCATGGTGCTACACTGACAACAACTCTGGCGGCTGCGTCATCAAACTTTGCAACGCCTGCAACTACGGTATGTATTGTCTATTGAAACGATTTTACTTTACGCCATGACAGTGGGTTGGACGTGTCTCATCTTCCCGGGGGGCACGGGTGGCCCAGTCGTCTAAGGCTCCGCGATTCGCTGTGCAGAGTTGCGTCCCTTGGGCACGCCAGAAACCTATGATTGTGAGTTCGAATCCCGGTTCGCCCCGATTATGTTTCTAGGTTTGTCAGCACCATAGCCGTGCTTGTGGGTTTCACCGAAGTGGTAAACGTCCTAGACCTGCATCACTTCGGGCTTTCCTTCCACATTAAGCTGACACGCCGCGATATAACTGGAATATTGTTAAAAGCTGCGTTAAACCCACTCACTCACTCGCTCACTCTCATCTTCCCGAGGCAAGGGAGGTAACTGACTTTAAAAATGCATTTTCCACCCTTTCCGAACTAGGCTGGATTCTCGTGGCTAGATTGTAGCGCCAGCAAGGGTTATTACGAGTTATGTCCCTTCAATGTACTCCTATTGACCAATCAGATTCAAGCTCTCATACCACTTGCATTTGCTTCAAACAAAATTGCGGCACCAAGTCAAGACGATCCGATCGACAATCTAGATCTATGTTGTAATAAAACGGGTCTTCCTTCGCGAAATGCATAATATCACTTGAGCACCTTGATTGAAAACATGAAAATACTTGGAAAATATCTCTCGATGCCCAGTTGACGGAACACATGCTTTGCAAATCTTGTAATCGACCGAAATCTGCACGGCAGTCACCGTGTTGTTTATGAGCCGGGTTTTGATTGGACTCGTTAGTATAGCTTAAATATAACTTCATAATTCCAGCCTAGTTCGGCAAGGGTGAAAACGACTTTTTGTACTCAGTTAACTCCTTTGTCTTTGGAAGATGGACGTGTCTGTGTATGCCATGAAGGCAGTTTAGTTTTGACATTGAGTTATTTGATCTTGTCCATCAGTGAACCCATGGTTGCTGTCCTAAACGGTCCCGCTTGTGAACACATGATTGGGTATACTACCCTCACTCTACCTCGCTGAACACACCACCGCAATCCAGTCCTGGTCTAATATCCCAACTCTACCCAGCTAAACACCACAACCTAACCCACACACTTCTACTACCCCCGCTCTACCCCGCTAAACACCGTAACCCAACCCACACAGGTCTACTACCCCCCACTCTACCCCGCTAAACACCCCCACCCAACCCACACAGTTCTACTCTTCCAACTCTACCCCGCTAAACACCCCAACCAAACCAACACAGGTCTACTACCCCCACTCTACCCCGCTAAACACCACCACCCAATCCACACAGGCCTACTACCCAAACTCTACCCCGCTAAACACCACCACCCAACCCACACAGTTCTACTCTTCCAAATCTACCCCGCTAAACACCCCAACCCAATCCACACAGGCCTACTACCCCAACTCTACCCTGCTAAACACCACCACCCAACCCACACAGTTCTACTCTTCCAAATCTACCCCGCTAAACACCCTAACCCAACCCACCCAGGTCTACTATCCCAATTCTACCCCGCTGAACACCCCACCCCATGCGCCCCCACGCCAACCCAAACCACTCCATCACCCTGTCCTATTAGCAACTATGTCAACCCTTGCAGCACAATGTTTGTGTTTCCAGGCGGTGAATACGACAGCTACGATGACTGTGACGCCTTAATTGCTGCTAACAGCAACTACTGCAACACCGAGGATGCAGCCATCGGCTGTCGCGACACCTGCAACTTGGATCAGACCATTTCGAGTGCTAGTAAGCTACCCAATGCATCATTCTTGCAATTCAGATAATGGAGATTGTTACTCGTGCAGATATTCGTAAATACATTTCGAATCTTACCCTCTTGTCTTTAGATATCCAATATGTCAACACGGGCTTTTAAATTTATACCTCCGAGGCTTGCCGTGTAGTTTTTAACTATTATCAACGAGTGTTGATGTACTTGATATCAAAAGACACACAGATGGGATTCTATTTATCATCCGAAATCATTCTTCTAACTTTTCCTGTTGCAAAACAGCAATAACCAGTGTCTTTGGAGAACTGAGTACAGCTAGCCAGCCTTAGTTACAGAGAGATCAGTGATGTCATTAGATTATGACGTCATGGCTACTGATGACATTACAGTGATCAAATAAAAGCGAAAAAACAGTTTTCAAATTCACAACAAATCTCTTAAAGCAGAGTCGATTTTACGATTCCCACGATATTATGAGCATGTGTTTAGGAATCACTATCAAATAGTGATGATACCAAGTGTACACGGAAAGGTGAGCGTATGGTGCCCAACCGGTGGCATCCGTCACAAACACATGCAATGGCAAGTCAATTGTTCGCATAAAAAATACACGGGTACATAATGGTCAAAAAAAGGGAATTGCACTGGACAACATTTTTATCCGCAATGCGTCAAATATGGAAATGTTCACAACATACCATGAAACTTTTAAAAAGTTTTACTGAGACCTTGAATGTTATAACCTTGGTCAAACAGCTTTATAGTAATCTTCGAGCTTTGTGAGCTATACTACTCAAAAGAAGTTAAAGAACACCCGAATTTTTCATACACAATGTATAACTATAGATAATTTGTCATGGCTTGATAGATTAACTATAGTCATATAAAAATAGTTTTTTCTTTAACTTCTTTTGAGTAGTATATATGCGAGCCAATGTAATTACTCGAGCTGTGTTATTAACTTTGCTTAAATTGTGCCAGTGTTCCCTGTAAGCGCGCTCCTGTGTGTCACCAAAGTGGTTAATGTCTGAGACCTTCATTACTTCGGGATTTGCTCCCACATCAACTGCAGGCCGTAATATAACTGGAATACTGTAAAACGCAAAGTCACTTACTCACTCCCAAGGTTCGTGTGGTGCTCCGCCTGATGTGGATGGCGGAAGCCTTGTCGGGGCTCCATCTGCATCTTACAGCATCGGCAGCAGCGTCAACTACGAGTGCGACATCGACAACAGCATCGTTGTTCCCAGATTCTGTCTATCCTCCGGACAATGGTCAGAAATGGGTTCGGTTTGTAACGGTAAGTACCCGTCAATGTCTTGTTTTCTTTGTTTGATTGTTGTTTAACGCCGCACTCAGCAATAGTCCGGATCTTCACGGGTTGTCGTTCATGTATCAGCATGTATCAGCGGATTATGTGTGAGCTATCACGAATACTATTTGTTTAATGTGAGTTTGAGCCGCGATGTCGGGAATAGAGGAACATCATCAGCCGCGTGAACCACACCCCCTAAACATCCTCCACGGTAATGGAACGTTGAATGAATGATGTTATATTCCGCTGACAGCTACGGTATTAAATAAACTGGTGGGCAAAAAAAATTTGAGCACCATATATTTGGTGATGAAACAAAAAAGAAGGGGTAATTTGGTAGTGATCTTTTTTTATATACTGGTACCCTAGTTGTGTTTTGTACCTTAAGTTTGCAGTGTTTGGGCGATTGTTTTCATAACTTTGGGAACCTCTCAGTCAAATTCAGTTTTCAAGTGTATGCTTTCTTCTGCCCGGCAGTTTAGTAAAATGTATTAAGGAAACTAGTGGTTAATAGCATGAGCAGCGGTCTATGTCAAGTCCTCATACTTGTTGTTACTCTGCCTGGCGCTCGGCATTTAGGGGCTAAAACAAGTCCTGGTCGACTCGGAGTCAGTATACTGTGTCTGAATGGGATGTTCATCACACACACACACGTGCGCGCGCGGACACACACACACACACACACACACACACACACACACACACACACACACACACACACACACACACACACACACACACACACACTCACCTCAATGGGCTAGCATTATGAAACCGGCGTAGGTCTGTAAGAATACAAGCAGATACGTACGTGCATGCACATCGTCATATAAGTAACATAATCTTGAGCGCGACGTTAAACCCCAATTCACCTCATCACACCTCTTAATTATAAGGGGGAACAATAACATCAACTACAACAACTACAACTACGACGACTTCAACACCAACTACACCTACAACAACAGCTGCACCAACAACTACCACAACTACAACTACAACAGCTGCACCAACAACTACCACAACTACAACTACAACAACTACCACAACTACAACAACCGGTCCCTCCGTGGCATGCGAGGCTGGTTACACAGGCAACACCGACGATGGTTTCTGCTACAAATATTTGGGAACTACAACACGGTTTGGAGATGCAGCAGCCATCTGTGATGCAGAAGAAGCTGATATTGCTGATGCCAGAACGGCTGAAACACAAGCGTTCCTCGTGACTCTGAGAGACTCCAGCGGGTGAGTCAGGACACTGGTTCCACTTTTAGTGGTGAGTGAGTGAGTGAGTGAGTTTGGTTTAACGCCGCTTTTAACAGTATTCCAGTTTCATCACGGCGGTTCATCTTAATGTTGGAGGAAAGCCCGAAGTGATGCAGGTCTCAGACGTTTCCACGGGTATGGTGCTGACAAACCTAGAAACATAATCAGGCCGAACCGTGATTCGAACTCTCGACCATAGGTTTCTGGCGCGCCAAAGGGACACAACTCTGCACAACGAATTGCGACGGCTCAGACGGCAGCAGCCGAACGATTGGTACAAATCTGTACCATAGCTGATTAAAAGTGCAGAAGCGTAGCGTTGTTTTTGGCTGGTGTTTGAGAACAATTGTACAAATCAGGTAGTGCCCCATTTATCTTTATTCGATACCGCGGACAATTAAATATACAAATAGACAATCTGTGAAATGCAGTATATGCTCTCAAATTCAGGAGGGATATTCAAAAATAACAGATGATTATAGAAATGCAAAGAGGTTATAACGAGGTGTAACATGACAATCAACAGAAGATGTTGGCGGTGTATTTAAAGGGCGCAAACAAACAAGAAAGGAGACAGGGGAGTGTGGTCTAAGTGAAGGTTTAAGATAACGTGATCAATAATGGGTCATGTCCCCACGATTGGTCAGACATTCGTGTACAAGGCGTGGCATGGTCAGAATCAGTATCCTAATGGCAACTTGAGAGAGTCTTGGCCACTCCTCTCGAAGCGCATGGCACATTTCTGCTATCGTAGCGGTTGACCTTTGACGTCTCCCGATAATGTCGCAGGCGTGCTTATGGGGGAAAGGTCAGGGCATGGCTAGCCATTGCATTCTGGCGATAATTTGCTGCTAGATTTTGTCAGTTACAACACGTGCGCGATGGGCACCAGCCTCATCGTCCGTCGTCTGGCGAGAATGTGTCAATTGGTTACCGGTACAACACGTGACCGCCGAACATGCAGATTAGCATGCAGACGACAGGTCAGTGACTAAAGTAACCTCTAGTTATCGCCAAGCGAAAGTGAACAACGACTTGACAGTTTGTGCTTGATTTCTTGAAGCCTAGTTTCTGATTAATCAATCTCGTGTTGATGACAGAGGGCGCCCTGTGTGGGGCCTATCACTTACATTTTGTGTCTGCAGAAACCTGTTCCAAAGTCTGCAAATTACAGACTGAGACACGTTGAACATATTATTCAACCATTTGGAAGCATGCCAATAGCCACATGCTTTTGTAGACGACGCATATCCAATCTGATCACAAATACTATGTTAAAGCAAGTGTTGAGAGCTTACGTGTTACTGGGGATAAAATCAACAATACTAATGGCTCAGAGCGATTTGACGACCTTTCAGTGAAGTGTCAAAATCAAGGAGGATCTCCCTATCCATGTGCAGGGAGCAACGGTCCCCGTGGAAAGTTTAGGGTGTGTTTGGGCGTTCAGGTTCGGTTCGGAAACCATTCTGTCTCTTGTTGTCATGTTTCAAAGGTGATCTTTCTTCTGACGATCGATCATAACATTTACTGGGATATAAGATAACTCAAAACCCATTACGAGTTATGGCCCTTCTATGTCCTTCCAACTGACCAATCAGATTCCACCTCATATCACTTACATTTGCGTCAAACAAAATGGCGTGAAAACGATCTGATCGATAATAGAGGTCTATTTTGTAATAAATCGGGTCTTACTGCGCGAAGTGCATCAAATCACTTGAGCACCTTGATTAAAACATGAAATGTTTGGAAAATGTCTGTTGAAGATAAGTTGTCGTTACACATGCTTTGCAAATCATGCAATCGGCCGAAATCTGCCCTGCAGTTTACGAACCGGATGTGGATTTCGTTACGCAAGTTTGATTTGGTTATGCGTAGACTCGTCTGTCCAGCCAAAATATAACTCCATAATTGCGGTCTAGTTCGGCATGGGTGGAAACCGGACTTTTAAAGTCAGTTAACTCCCTTGCCTCGGGAAGATGTTACAGTACATATGCATGTTTAAATGAATTGTGATCTAATGTCACACTGTTTTCCGGTGTCGATATGAACCCAGCAGATATGTGGACATTGACGTAAGTTTCATTGGTGCACGTTCCCCCGTAGGAGGGCAATGTCATACGTTGCCCCCTGAAAGAGGACATTGGTATAATACGTTTTCTGTAAGAGGACGATTCCCTGTCTAAGTGTATCTACGTTTCCCAATGTAACAGGACCTTGACATACTTTTCCCTGTGTAAGAAGACATTTACATACGTTCCCCTGAAGGAGAAGTTTCTTCCTGTCGGAGGACGTTGACATACGTTCCCCTGAAGGAAGACTTGATATACGTTTTCCTGTAGGAGGACTTTGACATACGTTCACCTGAAGGAATACTTGATATACGTTTTCCTGTAGGAGGACTTTGACATACGTTCCTCTGAAGGAAGACTTGATATACGTTTTTCTATAGGAGGACTTTGACATACATTCCCCTGAAGGAAGACTTGATATACGTTTTCCTATAGGAGGACTTTGACATACATTCCCCTGAAGGAAGACTTGACATACGTTTACCTGAAGGAGGACTTTGACATACGTTCCCCTGAAGGAAGACTTGATATACGTTTTCCTGTAGGAGGACTTTGACATACGTTCCTCTGAAGGAAGACTTGATATACGTTTTCCTATAGGAGGACTTTGACATACATTCCCCTGAAGGAACACTTGATATACGTTTTCCTGAAGGAGGACTTTGACATACGTTCCTCTGAAGGAAGACTTGATATACCTTTTTCTATAGGAGGACTTTGACATACATTCCCCTGAAGGAAGACTTGATATACGTTTTCCTATAGGAGGACTTTGACATACGTTCCCCTGAAGGAAGACTTGATATACGTTTTTCTATAGGAGGACTTTGACATACATTCCCCTGAAGGAAGACTTGATATACGTTTTCCTATAGGAGGACTTTGACATACGTTCCCCTGAAGGAAGACTTGATATACCTTTTCCTATAGGAGAACTTTGACATACGTTCGCCTGAAGGAAGACTTGATATACGTTTTCCTATAGGAGGACTTTGACATACGTTCCTCTGAAGGAAGACTTGATATACGTTTTCCTATAGGAGGGCTTTGACATACATTCCCCTGAAGGAAGACTTGATATACGTTTTCCTATAGGAGGGCTTTGACATACATTCCCCTGAAGGAAGACTTGATATACGTTTTCCTATAGGAGGGCTTTGACATACATTCCCCTGAAGGAAGACTTGATATACGTTTTCCTATAGGAGGGCTTTGACATACGTTCCCCTGAAGGAAGACTTGATATACGTTTTCCTATAGGAGGGCTTTGACATACGTTCCCCTGAAGGAAGACTTGATATACGTTTTCCTGTAGGAGGACTTTGACATACATTCCCCTGAAGGAAGACTTGATATACGTTTACCTATAGGAGGGCTTTGACATACGTTCCTCTGAAGGAAGACTTGATATACGTTTTCCTATAGGAGGACTTTGACATACATTCCCCTGAAGGAAGACTTGATATACGTTTTCTTATAGGAGGGCTTTGACATACATTCCCCTGAAGGAAGACTTGATATACGTTTTCTTATAGGAGGGCTTTGACATACATTCCCCTGAAGGAAGACTTTATATACGTTTTCCTATAGGAGGACTTTGACATACGTTCCTCTGAAGGAAGACTTGATATACGTTTTCCTATAGGAGGGCTTTGACATACGTTCCTCTAAAGGAAGACTTGATATACGTTTTCCTATAGGAGGGCTTTGACATACGTTCCCCTGAAGGAAGACTTGATATACGTTTTCCTATAGGAGGGCTTTGACATACATTCCCCTGAAGGAAGACTTGATATACGTTTTTCTATAGGAGGACTTTGACATACATTCCCCTGAAGGAAGACTTGATATACGTTTTTCTATAGGAGGACTTTGACATACATTCCCCTGAAGGAAGACTTGATATACGTTTTCCTATAGGAGGACTTTGACATACGTTCCCCTGAAGGAAGACTTGATATACCTTTTTCTATAGGAGAACTTTGACATACGTTCGCCTGAAGGAAGACTTGATATACGTTTTCCTATAGGAGGGCTTTGACATACGTTCCTCTGAAGGAAGACTTGATATACGTTTTCCTATAGGAGGGCTTTGACATACATTCCCCTGAAGGAAGACTTGATATACGTTTTCCTATAGGAGGGCTTTGACATACGTTTCCCTGAAGGAAGACTTGATATACGTTTTCCTATAGGAGGGCTTTGACATACGTTCCCCTGAAGGAAGACTTGATATACGTTTTCCTGTAGGAGGACTTTGACAAACGTTCACCTGAAGGAAGACTTGATATACGTTTACCTATAGGAGGGCTTTGACATACGTTCCTCTGAAGGAAGACTTGATATACGTTTTCCTATAGGAGGACTTTGACATACATTCCCCTGAAGGAAGACTTGATATACGTTTTCTTATAGGAGGGCTTTGACATACATTCCCCTGAAGGAAGACTTGATATACGTTTTCTTATAGGAGGGCTTTGACATACATTCCCCTGAAGGAAGACTTTATATACGTTTTCCTATAGGAGGACTTTGACATACGTTCCTCTGAAGGAAGACTTGATATACGTTTTCTTATAGGAGGACTTTGACATACATTCCCCTGAAGGAAGACTTTATATACGTTTTCCTATAGGAGGGCTTTGACATACGTTCCTCTCATGATCAAGGAAGACTTGATATACGTTTTCTTATAGGAGGGCTTTGACATACGTTCCCATGAAGGGAGACTTGATATACGTTTTCCTATAGGAGGGCTTTGACATACGCTCCCCTGAAGGAAGACTTGATATACGTTTTCCTATAGGAGGGCTTTGACATACGTTCCCCTGAAGGAAGACTTGATATACGTTTTCCTATAGGAGGGCTTATAAAAATGTGCCGCATAAACATTCATCGGATTGTATACTGTAGGTGCTAAGGCATAATAAATATGCCAAATCATAGAAGTTTTCCGGCCTTTCAATTGTTAGTAACCATAGTCTGTGTACTTAGGTGATCGTATAAGAGAGTATCGTTTCAGGATTTCTCTTGAATGAAGCTCTGCATAAATTACGTTACGGTCACGTACACTTATTTGTTCTTTAACTCGAGTCGCCAATGCATGTTTGTTGGGGAATTCAGAAGAGGTGGTACAGGTGTTTATATCTTTATTGAGTTCATACTTGTTTACTAGTGATAACATGTGGTATACGGGTGACATTTTACATTTATCATCTTTTTCCTTAATTGTATCGACTTGATACGGAACAAGTCTGTGCTGTAATATTCTTTTAAATGCAAAGTTAATATCATACTCTTCCAAGGAATAAGAGAGCTCGTTGATCAATGTACGCCTGGAGAGAAATTAAGCCAAGACAATCTCTGGTGACGACGGAAGGAGAGCGTCGAGACAATCTTTGAATCTTTTTACAAAAATAACGTTGAATACGTTGGTGACTGCTTACCCTATAAACTACAAGCACATAATCCACATGGTAGTATTACCCTTTCCCATATACGAACAGCTGGGATAGGATTTAACCCCCTCCCCCCAAAAAAGAAAAGAAAAATAGCCTATGATTATAATTTAGTTTTTCACATATTAAATGGGTACGTTCTAAGGATGTTTCTGCCCCAGCCCCTCTCCTAAATCCAAATTGAAAGGGGTGGGGGATGCCTTTAGATTTGTTTGCCCACTCTTCAATTCTATTCAACAGGAGTCTTTCAAACAGCTCACTTAATACAGGAGTGAGGGTAATACCTCTGTAGTTAGTGGGGTCATCTTTACATTTACCATGGCCTTTGTGGATAGGTAAAATCTTTCCAACGTTAAACATTTTTGGTACATACTCATGAGCAACAATTTCATTATAGAATGTAACAAGGTGATGAATAATAGTATTTGATATGTTCATTAACAATGCCATCGGGACAAGGCGACTTTCCGCTTTTTAGATGCTTTATAGTTGTCAATAACTCATGAGATGTGAAAGGACAAATCAACGTGGAACTAACGTCACTGTCCCCTTAGTCATTACACGAATCATTTTCAGTCTGTTCCATACGAATATTCACATAATCAGTAAAGTCTGGGCCAAAATTGATATCATGATTTGGCATTGACAAATCCTTGAGATATTTGGGAAACAGATTACAAATTCCTTCCTGTGTATTACAGGACTCTTTCTTTTATATCTCTTGGTTGCTCTAAAGTACTCTGTTATGTCAACCTCAGCCGCTTCGTATATTTCCTGAAACCTTTCGTATTTGGGCTTTTGTTTGGAATGACGATGCTGCTTCCTAAAGAAACGTTTTGCTCTTTTATACTCAATGTAATTGACATCCTCTGTAGGACGACATTGGTATAGGTTGCCATGTCTGAGGACAATGAGATACATTCCCCTGTAAGACGACATTGGTATAGGTTGCCATGTCTGAGGACAATGAGATACATTCCCCTGTAAGACGACATTGGTATAGGTTGCCATGTCTGAGGACAATGAGATACATTCCCCTGTAAGACGACATTGGTATAGGTTGCCATGTCTGAGGACAATGAGATACATTCCCCTCTAAGACGACATTGGTATAGGTTGCCCTGAGGACAATGAGATACATTCCCCTGTAAGACGACATTGGTATAGGTTGCCCTGAGGACAATGAGATACATTCCCCTCTAAGACGACATTGGTATAGGTTGCCCTGAGGACAATGAGATACATTCCCCTGTAAGACGACATTGGTATAGGTTGCCCTGAGGACAATGGGATACATTCTCCTGTAAGACGACATTGGTATAGGTTGCCCTGAGGACAATGAGATACATTCCCCTCTAAGACGACATTGGTATAGGTTGCCCTGAGGACAATGGGATACATTCTCCTGTAAGACGACATTGGTATAGGTTGCCCTGAGGACAATGGGATACATTCTCCTGTAAGACGACATTGGTATAGGTTGCCCTGAGGACAATGGGATACATTCTCCTGTAAGACGACATTGGTATAGGTTGCCCTGAGGACAATGGGATACATTCCCCTGTAAGACGACATTGGTATAGGTTGCCCTGAGGACAATGGGATACATTCTCCTGTAAGACGGCATTGGTATAGGTTGCCCTGAGGACAATGGGATACATTCTCCTGTAAGACGACATTGGTATAGGTTGCCCTGAGGACAATGGGATACATTCTCCTGTAAGACGACATTGGTATAGGTTGCCCTGAGGACAATGGGATACATTCTCCTGTAAGACGACATTGGTATAGGTTGCCCTGAGGACAATGGGATACGTCCTCCTGTAAGACGACATTGGTATTCGTTCCCCGACAGGAGGATGTTGATAATCGTTCCATTGTAAGAGGACATTGATGTTTTGAGGATACTTTGAAGGACATTGAGATACGTTCCCTACTTTGAAGTACATTGAGATACGTTCCCTACTTTTTAAGGACATTGAGATACGTTCCCTATTTTGAAGGACATTGAGATACGTTCCCTACTTTGAAGGACATTGAGATACGTTCCCTATTTTGAAGGGCATTGAGATACGTTCCCTACTTTGAAGGACATTGAGATACGTTCCCTATTGTGAAGGACATTGAGATACGTTCCCTACTTTGAAGGACATTGAGATACGTTCCCTATTGTGAAGGACATTGAGATACGTTCCCTACTTTGAAGGACATTGAGATACGTTCCCTATTGTGAAGGACATTGAGATACGTTCCCTACTTTGAAGGACATTGAGATACGTTCCCTATTTTGAAGGACATTGAGATACGTTCCCTACTTTGAAAGACATTGAGATACGTTCCCTATTTTGAAGGACATTGGGATACGTTCCCTATTGATATACGATCACCGTTTAATAAGACACTGACATACGTCCCGATGTCACAGAAATATACATGATCAAACATTATTAACACTGTATGTTTCTCCGACAGGAACTCGGACAAGAATGTGTTTTTGAACATGAAATACAGAAGGAACGGAGACTTCTGGTTCTGGCGACCTAGCAGATTTAACAGAGTAGAGGACTCCTACACAAACTGGGACATCGGCACCAGTGAGTTAATTGTGACTCGCCAGTCGTACTGGAATATTGTTGTGTGAAATGTAATGAAGGCCTTGTCGCCTTGTCGTGCTTTGGTTAATTTTGTCCCTTTTACTTCTTTTGTTCGAGATATAACGCGTCAGTACCACAATGACCCTTCTTGGATTCCGTACCTGACAGATTTGTTGTGGAGAATAATGTCGAAACACTTTCCAATACAATATAAATGAAATATATTCTGGCTGGGAATACGGGAAAAAAACACGATCACAGAACTCAGTCTCTGAGTGATTGAGTTTTGTTTAACTGCGCTTTGAACAATATTTTCGTTTTATTATGGTACTTGTTACCTGCCTGAGGCTTTGCATTAAGGGGATAAAACAAGAACTGTCTGGTTCTGAGTCAGTATAATGTGTCTGAGTATAATGTATCCATGTTAAACTGCGGTATTAAAGTAGAATGAACCCCTCATAAGTCCGGACTTGTACAAGGGGCAACAAAAACACGTCACGATATAAGACTTTGTGAAACAATATTGACCTCACCTCACCTCACCTCACCTCACCTCACCTCACCTCACCTCACCTCACCTATATGATTTTTCTACTGTTTCTCCAGGCGCCGGCCCTAATGGCTTTACTGACAGGTGTGGCTACATCGGGGCTCAGTCTACCGGAAACAAGTGGTTTGCGTCAAGGTGTAATGCGGATTGGGACGTAATTTGTAAGAAGAGTTCTTTGGCAAGCACATCTCGTGGTAAGTAGATTTTTCCCGGATGACATAAATTCGAACACCCGATGGCCTTGTAATTTCGCAATCGTTCAAATGCGTTTATTTGCCTCTATAGATATACTGCCCCCTGTACATCTGATACCTGTTCCGTAGATATAATGTACACGTGAATATGTTACCAGCTCTACAGATATCATTTAACAAACAAAAACTGTATCCGGGGATATTTGCTCTCGGTTCTATAGATAAACTGTACGCGTTTATATCCGATATAAGATCTATAGATATGATGTTCGAGTGCACCTCTGATATTAGTTCTATTGATATGATACAACAGTGCATATCTAATACCAGTTCCTTAGATATGATGTACACGTGCATGTCTGATACCAGTTCCTTAGATATGTTGTACACGTGCATATCTGATACCAGTTCCTTAGATATGATGTACATGAACATATCTGATACCAGTTCCTTAGATATGATGTACATGAACATATCTGATACCAGTTCCTTAGACATGATGTACACGTGCATATCTGATACCAGTTCCTTAGATATGATGTACACGTGCATATCTGATACCAGTTCCTTAGATATGATGTACACGTGCATATCTGATACCAGTTCCTTATATATGATGTACACGTGCATATCTGATACCTGTTCCTTAGATATGATGTACATGAACATATCTGATACCAGTTCCTTAGACATGATGTACACGTGCATATCTGATACCAGTTCCTTAGATATGATGTACACGTGCATATCTGATACCAGTTCCTTAGATATGATGTACACGTGCATATCTGATACCAGTTCCTTAGATATGATGTACATGAACTTATCTGATACCAGTTCCTTAGATATGATGTACACGTGCATATCTGATACCAGTTCCTTAGATATGATGTACACGTGCATATCTGATACCAGTTCCTTAGATATGATGTACACGTGCATATCTGATACCAGTTCCTTAGATATGATGTGCACATGCATATCTGATGCCAGTTCCTTAGATATGGATATGATGTACACGTGCATATCTACAGATATGTATTTGTTGTCTCTCGGCCAAAACAATCCAGTGATTGACATCATGGGCATCCACATGATTAAGATACGACAACATGCTATCAACAATGTCTCCGAGCCTGACCACCCTACCCGTTTAGTCTTACGATAAAGCGAAGGATGACATTTAGTCCCAGAAACAAAGTCATATCGTATAAAAATATATATTTACAAAATAAAAAATAAATCAAATCAAATGGAGCCCAGAACATTCCTTTGTAGAGCTGAGGCAATCTAGACTTGCCAAATCATTCTAGACTTGAGTTTGACTCCTTGCTTAATTTACTTTCTCGGCTGTGGGAGAAAGGCGAGATAAGGCGTTATATCCAGGTGCAATCTACTTGTATTGAAACTAGTACTTGATATTTATGCCTACTCAATGCATCTATGTTGGACATCGTGTTGAAAGATGCCTCGCTTTTGTTTCTAGAAAGCCCGCTCATCCGGCATCGTCGCGCCGCCACCATCTGCGACGACAGGAGGGGTGACTGTCAAGCCGTTATCGACGTCATACCTGACATGTGCTCAACGTTTACAGTATACGCCGAAGATTGCCCCGCTTCCTGCGGTAGCTGCAACCCTGACGGTAAGCTGGCTGAAACTCCCCTACAGCTCCCCTGTCTGTTACCCCCCCCCCCCCCCCCCCCCCCCCCCCTACAGCTTCTTGTCTGTCTGTTACCCCCCTCCAGCTGCTTGTCTGCCTGTTGGGTCCCCACAGCTGCTTGTCTGTCTGTTACCCCCCCTAAAGCTGCTTATCTGTCTGTTACCGCCCTCCGGCTGCTTGTCTGCCTGTTACCGCCCAACAGGCTGCTTGTCTGCCTGTTACCCCCCTACAGCTGTTTGTCTGCCTGTTACCCGCCTACAGCTGCTTGTCTGCCTGTTACCCCCCCTACAGCTGCTTGTCTGCGTGTTACCCCCCAACAGGCTGCTTGTCTACCTGTTACCCCCCTACAGCTGCTTGTCTACCTGTTACCCCCCTACAGCTGCTTGTCTACCTGTTACCCCCAACAGGCTGCTTGTCTGCCTGTTACCCCCCCTACAGCTGCTTGTCTACCTGTTACCCCCAACAGGCTGCTTGTCTGTTTTGTATATGTCTGGTTGATTGTTTTGCATATGTCTGGTTGTCTGTTTAATTGTATATATCTGGTTTGTTGTCTGTTGATATGTGTGACTGCTTGTCTGGTTGTCTGTTTACTTGAATATGTCTGGCTGGTAGTCTATTTATTAGTCATTGCATCTGTCTGTACCTCAGACTGGCTTATCATTCTCTCTCTCTCTCTCTCTCTCTCTCTCTCTCTCTCTCGCTCTCTCTCTCTCTCTCTCCCTCTAGTTCATAAATTTCTCTGTATTTCCGACTGTCGGCTACATTTGTGTGTGTTTTTGTTAGGGTTAAGGTTAGGGTTAGGGTCAAAACAATGAATACAACAAAATTGATTGAAGCGCGTGTACAATGACAGTTACGTACGTGGAAAGTGTAATCAAGTCGTGAGCTTTCTTTTAGTTGTGAGCTGCGCCGTCCCGACCCCCCAGGCCGGCGACAACACGGTGCTGCAGACCGCATCCACCGCTCGAAATCCCGGGCAGGTGATTCAGTACGCCTGTACCTCTGGTGTACCAGCATCGGGGAATCTACAACGTGCCTGCAAGAGGGATGGCACCCTCACTGGAGCCCGTCCAACCTGTGCGGGTGAGCTACATGAATGTGTGTGTTTGTGCGTGCGTGCGTGCGTGTGCGTGTGCGTGCGTACGTGTGTGTGTGTGTGCGTGTGTGTGCGTGCGTGTGTGCGTGTGCGTGCGTACGTGCGTGCGTATGTGTGTGCGTGCGTGCGTGTGTGTGTGTGCGCGCTCGCACTCAGATCTATTCCAGCCACATGACGATGATCTGTAAATAATCAAATCTGGACCAGACAGTCCAGTGATTGATATCTTGAGCATTGATCTCATTGATACGATGATATGCATCAAATCAATTCAGCGAGCTTGACGACCTGATCCCGTTAGTCGCCTCTTACGACAAACATAGTCGCCTTTTACGGCGAGCATGGGTTGCTGAAGACCTATTCTACCCCGGATCTTCACGGGTCCCCGATACAGTATATATATGGAACTGTTATGAGGTATGCATGCGTATATGATCATATCTACAGAATTGACAGGTGAGGTGAGATCAAATGAGGTTTAACGTCGCGTCCAAGATTGTTGCACTTATATAGCGACGAGCATGCACGTGTGTATATGATGATCTATGTACATACATTTCTCACTACAGGTGTGTCAGCCACAACGTCCTTCGTCCCAAAGGGGGAGTTACGTCCCCTGCAATACGCAACGCCACAAATACAGATATACGGCCCCTCCCCACTGACCACCATTACACGATCAGGTAATGTGGTCACGTGGAGGGCGTATTGTCGGGAGCCAGGCACAATCAGACTGATGATAATGAGAAACACAGGCAGCACGTGAGTTGTAACACACGCCGATGTTATTGTTTATTTGTTTGTTTGTTTGTTTGTTTGTTTAAAGCCTCAATCAGCAATATTCCAGCTGCATGAAGTCGGTCTCTAAATAATCAGATTTGGACCAGAAAACCCAGTAGTTGACATCATGAGCATCGATCTACGCAATTGGGATGCGATGACATGCATCAACCAAGTCAGCGAGCCTGGCCACCCAACCCTCTTGGTCGACTCCTACCACAAGCATAGTCGCCTCTTAGACAAGCATTAGTTACTGAAGACCAATTCTAACCTGGATCTGCATGGCTACACTGGTGTAATTGAGTAATGAACACTGATGGTGTTGAGGAGTGAGTGAGATAGGTTTAACGCCGCTTTAAACAGTGTTCCAGTTATATCACGGCGTGTCAGCTTCATGTGGGAGGAAAGCCCGAAGTGATGCAGGTCTCAGACGTTTACCACTTTGATGCAACCCACGAACACGGGTATGGTGCTGACAAACCTAGATGCATGATCGGGGCGAACCGGGATTCAGACCCACTGCCATATGATTCTGGCGTGCCGGTTTTTTATCCTTCTTTTCTATTTCCTTTTTAGTGACTGAAAGTAAAACGTAATTCATCACATGTTTTAAACTTGTTTTCGGGTTTTGCGCACCTGAGGCTAGGCTACGCTGTGAAGACCCCAATGATATTCATTCTCTTACTCTTTGTAGGGTGACAATCATTGGCACTAACGACGTAGACTGTAGACGGAACCGAGTCATGGAGTGGGACATACCATCCGCTCAGAGAATATCTGTGCAATCTGGAGACTTCATCGGTGCAGCTGACCTGGCAGGTGGCCGGCTCATGTACAGCTACTGTGACGACTACAACAACTACGGCTACCTCGAGTACAACTTCCTCAGTAATTCACTCTTGGTTCCAGGAGCACAACTAGCCACAGACTCCAACTACTACCTCTGTCTTGTTATCCCGGTCAATGCTGTGATAGGACCATAGACATCACGACGCCAACAGTGCCGACATAAGTACGACTTAATCTTGGTAAGTATCTATTTCGATCAGGGCCCACTTGCACAAAGCGATCTTAGCGCTAAGATGATCGTAACTCCCATACTTTAACATAGGATTACGATAGTCGTAGCGCTAAGATCGTTTTGTGCAAGTTGGCCCAGGACAGCGAATAATTTCAGGCAAAGTAGACACAATTTATGAATAACAACTTCTACTTCTACTTATTCTACTGTAACGGCGACGTTTCGGTATAGTTCACTATACCGTTGTCAAGCAAGGCTGAATAATGATTGTTGTTGTTGTTGTTGTTGTTGTTGCATTAGGTGTTTAAGAGGTCGCCTTCTGCCTAGGCAATGTCGACTGACCTGTCCCACTTTGGGACTCATGTTTGTGAGTAGGGTACACATATCTATTGTGAGTTTGGTATTCACATAATGTCTGTTTTTGTATTGATATGATTTCTATTTTCGTATATTGATATAATTTCATTTCGATCCTTGGCTTCTCTGTTTATGTACGTTCGAGTAGCTGTCCATCTCTCAGAAATAGAGTTAGTTTGGCATCTCTTGGCTTTAGGAGATCTATGACAGACAGCGGTGTTATAAAAAACAGTGTCTCGGGAACACATATGTAGACGGGTTTGAATGTGCTTCTTCTCCAGTCGGATGAGGCTGCTGATGGTGTTGATTGACACGTATCGTTGTAGACAACGGATGAATTCTTTGAGAGGCAATAATTTCAGATACTCAGTAAAGTTCGCTATACATTATTTTAATTTGACTTTATTATCTTATAACAGAACCAGAACCAGATTCCACAGAACCAGAAGTCTCATATCACGTATGAGGTTTGTCATTTGACATTTTCAAACGTTCAGAAATAAACGTTTTAGCAGCAGTGCTGTTTTATGTTTTTTATGTTTTCAAATCCTAAACAAGCCGAGTGAATGAGTTGGGTTTGACGCCGTTCTGACCAGTATTCCGGTTATATCACAGAGAGGAAAGCCTGAAGTGATGTAGGTTTTAGACGTTTACCTAACGGGTAGGGCGCTGACAAGCCAGAAATATAATCGTGGCGAACCGGGATTCGAACCCAAAAAGAGAAAAGTGCATGTTTATCACAATGCTGCCTTGCTACTCATAATTATCTGACCGCCTCCGTGGTCTAGTGGTAGACCGTCCGCCATGAGAGCGGAAGGTCCGGGGTTCGATCCCCGGCCGCGTCATACCGAAAGACGTTAAAAGATGGTACTTGTTATTACCCCGTCTGGCGCTCGGCATTAAGGGGCTAAAACAAGGACTGGTCGGCTCGGAGTCAGTATACTGTGTCTAAGTGGGGTATTCATGTTAAACTGCGGCTTGGTATCTCAGTGGGCTAGCACTAAAAATCGGCATCAGTCCGGACTAGTACAAGCAGCCACACAAACACACACACGTACATGCACGTCGCTATATAACTGGAATAATCTTGGACGCGACGTTAAACCCAATTTCACCTCACCTCACCTCACCTAACCTCATAATTATCTTCTAGGACGTCCCAGGCAATATCATCTGAGCACTACACTTACCGTGCCCCTTGTGTCCAGAAGGGGACCACACTCCAATACTTGGCGTGCATTTTCCGCCGTGGTCTAGTCAGTGTAATCGCTGCGCATTCCTTGTGTGAAGCTGTTCAAATTTGACGATCTAAGTTGTCCACCGGTGTTGAGGGGCACGAGGGTGGTTACACCCTCAATATGAATTTATCTCAGCGCACACCTAACTATATTGCAGATATTTGGTCCGAATCCGTAAGAACACTATAGTTAGGCATCGATCCACTTCGCCCATGTTTCACATTTATAAAAAAATGCTCAGACGAAAGAAAAGAAACTTGAGTTATTCCCCCTAGATAAATTTCATTCGGAAAGTATCGTAAATATCCGGAGAATGGCGTCATACACTATTTATTCGAGATACAAACATGGCGTGGCAATTCGAGCGGGGAACATAAGGAATGTACGTTACATGTTAGCGGGGTACATGATAGTTAGGTTGATAATTAAATAGCCAGTAGACAGACAAAGAATTTAGGGGCCTTGATTCAAAGGACGAGGTAGGGTAAGGACTCCTTGGGGGCTTACTGGAAATGTCAAACTGCGGAAAACCGTAAAATAGGGGTGAGAAAGATTTCGAAACGCTCTCCTTTCTTGGAGTCGCGTGCTTTTGGACTTCAGTTAAGTCAAATATGTACGTATGACTGAAATGAGTGAAGCAAGTCTGTGACTCAAGGTGCTTCTTTACCACATGTTTGTACTGGTTTTTAAAATAAAATTTCTGAAGCTCGCGCCAAAGGCTCAAATTCATATATGAGACAAACGCTTCCAATTAACCTCAACATTCAGCACTTTTGAGACTTACGTTTACCTATCGCTGTATTGTTGAATTAAGTCCCAAAGATGCAGCCTTTGGTGTTTACATTCGCAATATTTGGGCTACAATCGAGCATGCTCTTTCTACCAAGGTTTCAAGAGCGTCAAACGACCCTTGTCCAGAGTGAGTGAGTGAGTTGGGTTTAACCCCGCCTTTAACAGTATTTCAGTTATATCACGGCGTGTCACCTTAATGTGGGAGGAAAACCCGAAGTGATGCAGGTCTTAGACGTTTACCACTTTGGTGAAACCCTCGAACACGGATATAGTGCTGACAAACCTTTGTTGAAGAACAATAAAAAATGATTTCTGCTTTTATTGACTTTGAAGAGGCGTTTGACTGAGTATGAAGAATTGGTTTATGTAATAAGTTGATTAAATATGAAAAATGGTTCAATCTTTGTACAACAGTATTACATCATGTCTGTCATTCAAAGGCCATACTACATAATATTTCAATTGGTTAAAAGGTGTATGGCAATGTGAAAATCTTTATCCCCTACTATTCTCACTTTTTCAAAATAGTGAATCTTGAACAATACTTAACTCTCAATAGTAGAGACTGATGGGATTGTACTCGACGATGGCCACATAAATATCAACTTGAAGTTAATCGCTTGCTCTATGCCGATGAAGCAGTGATATTAGCGTCTTCTCGGGATGATCTGCAGAAAGAACTGCATGTACATGTATGTAGTTATTATTGCAATCAATTGAAACGAAAAATAATTTTAAAAAATGTAAAGTCCTCATATTTAATTGTAGCAAAGCTTACAAAATGTAAACGAATATACATTCCTTGGTGCAAGAAAATCTTTGTGTGAAAGTGGTACAAAAGGTATAATAATTTGTCAATTAACTGGCATTTCAAGCTTTTTGACGCTTTAGTAACTCCAAACTCCAAAAATTGAAAACAGGAACCAAATCGGAACTGTCTGATCTTATCAATAATGTCTTCACAGTTCCTCTAAAGGAACATCAAAACAAATGCATTTATGACACTTTAATTACGACAGGCAATAATCACATCTGGACTGACCAGTTCTATCCAGACAGTGATTGCTTTCATCATAAAATAAATAATATTCTTACAGACGTATATTTTCAAAAATTGAACTCGGACCGAGAAACATCGAGCAGAAGCAGATTCTACAAATGTATCTAATATATGTAAAAACTATTTTAAATCATTACAGACTTGCTTGTCACCGACTACCAGCTGAAACAGGTAGATGGCACAACATTCTTCTCATGGAAAGAAAATGTTTATTATGCAATATCACGGCGGGGGACACCAGAAATGGGCTTCGCACATTGTGCCCATGTCGGGAATCGACTAACGCTTAAATCACGTGCGCACTAGGCTACCCGACCGCCCCGAAACATGGATGATAACAAGGGAGTAGCAATCGTATTATCCACCCAATTCGAAATCCTAAAATGGTTTTACTGCCAGGATACTTTCTTTATTAAACTATAACCATCACCGCTGTTACCAAATAACGACATCCGATGAACTTCCACCGTTTTTTGTCTGTTTGTTTAGGTTGAAGAAATTAATTAACATGCGCCCTTTGTGATATCGAAATCTTAATATACTGAACCGCAAAAGAAACGTCACCCCAAGTAACATTGCATGAAAAGTTGTCATTTAAATTTCTGGGTAATTTTTGTCAAAGTTTCTAAGATGTAACATTACCTTGTCCGGAAAAGGCCACACCGAGGACCAATTCTGACACCACATCATCGCCGGGACCGTCTTCAATGGGCAACACAGCACCGGCATTGGCGCCACTAGCAGTGGAGAAGAGTCCTCTTCTCAGACGAGAGCTGTTACTGTATCTCAACAGCAGATGGCAGTGTGATGGTCTGGTGACACCGTGGGGAACGTTATTCAGATGCTTGTGTTGTTGAGAGAACTCTTGGGGTGGTCGAGCATCGTGGTTTGGGGTGGAATTGGTCTTGCAGAACATCGGTCCAGGGAGAGGCAATACTGTCACAGCAGCTCGGTACATTGATCAAGTCTTGAAACCGCACGCCATACCTCATTTGGCACGTCGCCGCAACCGCGAGTTTTAGCATGATAACGCCCGTACCCACACTGCGAGAGCAACAAGAGACTTCCTCCAGCAAAATGGCATCAGAAACATGCGGTGGCCTGCCCTCAGTCCCGATTATATCCATTGAGCACCTGTGGGACGAGATTCAAAGACGGCTGAATGACGTCCGACCAAGGCCGACACTTGCAGCTGAACTGCGTCCGGCATTCCTCAGAGTTTGGGCTCAACCGCCTCATCAATTCAATGTATCGATGTTGCACGGCACTCATCAATGCACACACGGCGGACACACGAGATACTGACTTGTAATGCCATTTTCTCAGAGACTAGTGTTGTGTTTCACTTTAAGAACATTTGACACTTTAATTTCAACCTTGATTATCAGATTTGCCAAGTTTCATCTTTTAAATATGTCTCAAAGTATGTTTACAGCATTTGAACAAATCAGGCTTCTCATATATCTATCCATGGTGACGTTTCTTTTGCGGTTCAGTATAGATCACGGGTAACGAATCAGTGTTCAGAAATGCGTAAAGCTATTGCCTCAAAGCTGTCCTCACAGACGGTAGCCCAGTCTCTTAACTTGTTGGTTTGGTTGGTTGTTCGTTGTTTAATGTCGCACTCGCCAACATTCTAGCTTTATTCCGGTGGTCTGTAAACAGTCGAGTCTGGACCAGACAATCCAGTGATTGACATCATGAGCATCGCTCCACGCGATGGGATAAGATGACATGCATCAGCCATGGTTTCATGACAACCTTGTCCCGTAAGTTGCGTCTCACGACATGCAGCATAGTCGAATGGCAAGAATGAGTTGCTAAAGATCTATTCTGGCTCGCATCTTCACGGGCAGTTGCGCAGTTGCGTTAGCGTTAGTTGCGTTAGCCAGCAAATCGTCTCACGTCAACGAGCGAGCCCCTGCGGGCAATTTTAGACGGCAGGCCAGAGATTAGTGCCCCTTTTAATTTTAAGATTTGAAATACATTTGCCACATAATAATTATACATGTGTATGTAATAAATCAATATTCAAGTATATTTCTTTTATCTACGAGTTCACCGTGAATTTTGTGTACGAGTTACATGTAGGAGTGTCTACGAATTCTCCATGGCTACGATATATAGTTTCCGTGCTAACAGTAACCCAGGCTAGATTTCCTTTTTTTTCTAAATCTCTCCGCTATTTCATTGAAGAGAACAGTTTTTCCTTTGCGGTCTTGGCAAATGTGATGTCCATCCTTTATCAAATTCCACGCAAACACTTGTTCTTCAGTCAAAACTATCATTTTTTTACCCATGTGCGATGCACATGAATGTTGTTGTTTGGATAGATATTGACATGGCCTAAGTAGGTCAGCCAATCAGATGACTCGTTCGATTCTGCCCGCGGCTAAAATCTTCCGCTCGCCTTTCGTTACATTTGTT